CTACAGATTTCTGGAGCTTAAAAATATGCTGCAGAAAAAATGCAGTTTCAAATACTGGCCAAAAAAAAACAACTTAATCTGTGACTGTCATATGATTCTGAAATGAAAATGGTCTCTCAGGACATTAACAACTTTATCCAATAGTCCATCTTAACTAAGGAATTTAAAAAAATCTAAAAACACATTTCAATATTTTGAAATCTTCTTTAAGTACAAAATTTCAACTGATAAAAACATTTACATATAAAACTTTATATGGGCATCAGGTTCATGTTCCCTCGAGTAAAGGTATATTTTGAATTCCTATAGTAAAGCAGAATTCTTTGTAAAGGCAGACAATTGATATAGTACATACTACAGTATATAATTCAATATAATTGTCTGTTATGCATCTTATTGCACAACTTTCTGCATGTTTTTAATGCAGATAAGCTTTTACACATTTACAACACTATAATGTAAACTAGTGATGCACCTACATAACCAGAGCCTCCTTAGATTTTATATATATCCAAAATGGATAAACAGCACGGTGGACTACATTAAGACATTCTATAGAATGTTTAAAAAAAAATAAGATTTAACCAGTTTCCTTTGTCCTACAAGTAAATAATGCTGTCAAGGCTTCTGCTGTGACCCATATGTATACAAACTTCATGATCACGCTCATTAGAACTGAAATCAAAGTGCAAAGGATGGTTTTTGTTGTCCAAGGTTTATTCAAGATCTTGTAAATTTATTGTGCTTCCTGTAAACTGTGAATTATCTGAGCCAGCATCATCTTCGGCTGATGTGTGTGGTTCCTGCAGAAACACGACAATGCATTCAGTTATTCTTCTGCATGCTTGTACTGAAAATCTACTACGATGGAAACACATTTGATTTTCATTTTGCATTCTAAACCTTTTAGCTCATTTCTAAAAAATGTCAGCAAACTATCAACTGCATACTTTTGAGACAACATACGTTTTTTGAAATTCTTCAATCCATGGAATGTTGTTAAAAATAACTGCATTTCGGCATTTCAATATTGTAAGGTGTTTGCAATACACCCAAATAAATTAATGGCCACAGATATTATACACAAGCACTTGCTGAACTCAGTTCTGAAATGGACTGGTGCTAGACAAGTCGAACATTTAGTTTTTGTATAATGAATCCAAGTTTCCTTGTTGAAAGATCTTGAATTGCCATGAATGTGTTAGCAATCCTACCCATAGCCAACTACCAAGGTTTGATTAGGAAAATAAGTCAAATTATACAGTAAACCAACCAAAAGGACTGAACAATATAAGTGCATCTGAGCAAGTTTGAAATGTTTATGATGTCTGCCGCCGACATGATGCTGTCCACTGATGAAAATACCTGCAGAATGTTGACTGGAAGGTCAACAGTGAGCTGTGAGTGTGAAGTAGAGGTCTGTGAGCTAAGCTGGAACGCCAGGTCTCCATCGCCTGCAGGGTCATCCTGAGGTCAGAAGAAAAGGTGAATTACACCAAGACTTACCAAGAACAGAGCTTCCCAGGCATCAATATATTCAACTCGGATTGGAATCTAAATGGGACAAATGTGCTAGAATAATGTGCTAATAATGCTTAAGATGCTCTCATTTCAATAACAGTCCAGCATTTTATTCTTACTATCCTGTTTCCTGGAACTAAGGGGTCTATGCATATAATTTCTTTCTGCCTTTGATCTTGAGTATGGCCATCCAAATCTCACAAGAGCCACATGCTGTGGGGTTTATTATCAGCTAACAGTAAAGGAATTATAATCCAAGTCACAAATTTCTTAAAGGCCCTGCTAAAACAAAAACAAATAGACCCCCGTCTCTCTCTCTCTCTCACTAAGGTTCACCTTTCCTGCTGGATGTTGATGCATACATGGGGTATACCGCATGTGTGTATGCAGAAATTTTGATACACAAATCCTGCTCATGCACCTTGAAGATGATACACCGTAATATAAGACAGCAACCACCGTGTTTCACGAGCTATGCTAGCCTCGGCATATTCAACTCTTTTCTGTGACCAGACGTTCATTCCCCTTGGATCCCAGAGGCTTTGCAGTTTCAGAGGTTCCCTGGGAAGTGAACTGCGTCACCTCCTCACCTGCAGGAGCTGGATCTGAACATACTGGGCCCCCGTGGCCGTGTCTCTTATCGTCAGCCCGCCACTGGGAGACACCACACCTTCGCTGAAACGCCCGCTGGGACTGGCTGCAGGCACGGTGGCCGAACTCCCTTTACCGCTTTTGCATTTCCGCTGGCTAGAACTGGGGCCTCCTGAAAGCAAATTCAAGAGAGGCGAGCACAGAACTTAACAGAACAAGAACAAGCAAGGTGTCACTGTCCTCAGCAGCTCTCGGAATTAAACTGGATGCCTTCGGGGGGGGGTTAAATGTGTAAATTATAGAGCTATGCGATACATAAAGCTGATTTTGATCAACGCCTTCTCATGGAAACGGAGGAAATAACACAAGATAACGTGACAGTAGTACCCAATCCACCTGATTTAGTTGCGACAGAACAGAATTTAACTCAACATTTCTTACTTGAATGATTACCTGGACTACATCCTGATCCTTTCTGCTTTTTCTTCTTTTTGGCAAGCTGGATGGCTCTGTAATCTGTTCGGGCTGAACCGCCACTCTCCTGAAGTGCCAAACAAGCAAAAGATATTAAAGAACGAGCAACACTGCAAAAGGTGAAGACTGGGACAGAAGTGGAACGGGCACTTGGGCTCTGGCCTGTTACTCGGAAGGATTTAGTAAATCGGAATCGTGGGTAGGACACCTCTGAGCAAGACACTCTGGTCAGAGGATCTGGTAAAATGCCCCACCTTACATTATACAAAAAGGTACAAATGCATGTCTCAGGATAGAGCAACAGCCAGATAAATGAATAAAAATGTGCATGACTAAAGGAGAGGTATACAGTATACCAAAGACAAAGATATAGGAATATGCAGTAATCAGAAAATTCTCTTAGGAAAACCCTTTTCCTATCTGCAAAGTCTGTTCAAATGGTTATACTGAAGCTTACAAGATAAAAAGACACTAATCTGTTCTGCCAATTTTAACTGATGGCTCACTGAGACAATGTGGGGACTCTACACCAAAATATTAAAATACCTACTCTCCACAGATTTTAAATCCTTAAATTAAAAATGAAAAAGCAATACTATCCACCCTTCACTGCTCTACTCATCTGTCCGACTCCACAGAAAAAGTTTTAAGTATAATAACAGGGCTATGGCCTTGACTGTAACATTACTTTAACATACCCAGGAACAGCAGATTCCAAATGCCTCCCTGAGTGATGGATTCCTGCTTGTAAGGAATTTTCGACTCCATCAAGTACTGGTTTTACAATTTGCGCTCTGTAGGTGGTTAAAAGAGCCGACTGAGTCTAAGCCCATCCTCTGACTTTTCGATGGCGGCAGTGAACTCCCACCTACCAGGAAAGTGCTGCCCGACACAGCATTGAGTTCCACATCCCTCTGGGCACTGTAGCTGCCCGTGGGGCTGGAGAAGACGAACTGCGTCACCACCTTGCTGCCCTCCTGCTGCCCAATGACGTCCGAGCCGCTCAGCAGGCTGCGGTCCACCTTGGTGGGTGTGAGCAGCTCGGGCACGTGGCTGGCTGCCAGACTGCTAGAGGGGGTGAGCGTGGCCGTGTCGATGGTCAGGGTGCTGGAGGAGCCGAGCCCCTGCAGAGGATCCTGGGAAGGGGTCCGCATCGAGAGGGCTGCCAGGGAGCCTAAGGCTTCAGGGTTGACAGTCTGCACGTCTTCAAGATTCAGGGTGCCCTGTGGCAGGACACCACTGTTAGAGCCCATAGCCAGGGAGCTGTCCAATCCGTGAGTGATGTCGCCGCCCGCTGTCAGAATAAGAGGGTCCACAGCCTGTGCCAACGGGGTATTGTTGACAGCAATGCTTCCACCAAGGGTGGCACCTACAGAGGCAGCATCAATTGTCAGTATGCCAGAGTTCACCAACGACATGTCCATGGCAATGCCTGGGTTGCTGGTGGGCACACTGGAGAACAGGGAGGTGATGTCTATGTTGCCCAGGTCACCCTGGCCTGAGCTGGTCAGTTCATTGCTTGGGGTTAAAGAGCTGCTCATCTCCAGCTGGTTCAGAAGATCTGAAAAGATGACAAAGAATCACTTTGTAATTCCAGACCAGCGTTTTTTGGCCTCAGGTCAGAAACCTGCCCCTGGTGGCAATACGCAGATCACATCTGTAACGTAACTATGAGCTCTCAAAAACATGCAAAATAATTACACAACAGCATAAACAGCAGAATAATTAACAGCATGTGTAACTCATAAAGAAAAAAACACCCCAAAGAAACTTCTACATGTCAAAGAACAATATTTAATGATCATTATCGGAAACTAATTCAAAGTGAACAAAAAGCTTAAACCTTTTATGCAATCACTAGGAGATAGACCTGACAACTACTGGGTGGGGGATTGCTTTGCATCCTTTCATTCTAGAGTCTCTAAAGGGGAATGTTAACCAAAAAGACACTCACCTGGACTAAAATTGTGATGCTTAACCATGTGGCTCTTCATGCTGCTTTTGGATGTAAACTGCTTGTTACAGCTTGAGACTAGACAGAGAGTTTTTAATGTTTCAACATCCTGTAGGTGCTTCTTTGAATGGATGTAAAGACTGCTCCGAGCGGAGAATTTTGCACAGCAACCTGAAACAGAACGCAGATGTTACGCATAATCAATGGTACAGCAACCATCTGAAATGTTCACCATAAAAGACATAGAAGAGGGAAACAGTAAAGACCAGGAAGACATTACAGGAGTGTGAAGGAGTTCTCTTAACAAAAACTATCCTCACAACTAGAATACACTTAAGGACAACAGATCTCATTATCTGAATGAAGGGTAGAAAATATTTATTAAATCTCTACGACTAAAGGTATGATACATGCTTCATGGGACTGTTACTGGGCAGCGGAGCACATTTAGCAATAGACTGCTCCAGCTACGGTGTTCAAGGGAACGTTTCCGCAGGTCTTTCCTCCCGGTGGTCAGGGTGTATAACGCTGCCCTAGGCTAGGACTGTTAGCCCTTCATTTGCTCCTCTATGGACAGCATGTTTACTCCATTGTACTTTTTGGACAATCAGTCTGTATAAACCTATGCACATTTTGCACATATTTTATTGTTTTTACAGCGACTATGATCAGCACATTTTGCACACACCTATGTATTTATTTATTTTTATTTATTTTGTTTGTCTTTTGTTTTATAACTATTCTGATGTCTGTTTTGCTTGTCGTGGGCTGGACTGCTGTAACACATCAATTTCCCTTCGGGATTAATAAAGTATTATCTATCTATCCCTCCAGTGGTGAAATGTGAAATTGTAATGCGAAGGAATGTACAGTGGATGATTACAACCTCTCAGATTTCAATGGGATGAGCTTTTCCTTCTTAAAGTTCTTGACCAGAATATCTGCGGGCACACACCTTCTACTTGACACTCAAAGGGCTTCGTTCCGAGATGGGTGATACTATGGCCCTTCAGGTGCTCTGCCCTAGTAAACGACTTGCCACAACCCTCCTCCTTGCAGGTGAACCGGCGATCGTCGTCGTGCTTCCTGTGTACACAGACGAAAGAAAACCCATGAGCTTCCTAAAGCTTCAAGATATCGAGAAAACGTCCCGAATCATAATCCCAATGTTTCCAAAGTGCTTGAGGATTTTAACACGTAACCTTTTATGTCTCAGCAACTTGGACATACTAGTGAATGACCAACCGCATCCCTCAAAGTCACAAACAAAAGGTCGTTCACCTGCAAAAAAGCACAAAAAGATGAACAATACCATCGACAATACAATAGGCATCAATACAATAGTGTGGCATCAGTAGGTTTTCAGTCAGATGCAACATGTTTCATAATATTATAAAAGTTATTTAACAAATAGTAGCATTTTATATATGTATTTATATTTCCGTTCTACTGTTGTTGCTTATAGTGCTCAGCGGATTTATTCACATTCCATAATCAGTTTTGCTTGAACAAAAGTCTACAAATTTTAGTTCAGGTGGGCAGCTGCGTCAGCATGCGTAGGCCACAAAGGAACAAGTACTAGGTTTATTCCATGCTGAAAAGAGAAGAACGCAGCTGAAACGTTGTTTTCTTTCAACCACTTTTATACTGTGATCTTAATAACACTGTAAAAAGCAAAATCGTAATTAACTTGAATTAAAAAAAAAGCAAGGTTCATAATTTTTAAGAACTCTGAAGTATTTCTCTAAACAAAACCCAACAAACAGATTCACATTAATATTTTGCTCTTTAGACATTCAACTTTAGGCTTCTGGAAAGACAGAGGGGTCTCCAAAGGCTTCCTTTTTCCCTTGGATACAAAAACACATAAAACATGGAGGACTTTCAGTAATAACATTCATCGTCATGCTTAAGAGAACAGACAACTCCCTGGAGGCAACACACAGATGGTCACTAACCTCCAAGAGGTCAGGGGTGGCTATAAAAGAATCAAGAAGAATCTACCACTTTAGCACTGTAGCACCCATCATTGACTCCTTGACTCTTGTTGAGATAAGAGGGGATCATGGACTCCAATGCCTACTGGGATAATTTATCCAAATACCTTTCCCAAAAAGCTCGTGCTTGGCTGAACATGGGACATTTGAGCATAACAATAATCCAAAATGACAAAGGATGGTTAACTGACACACAAAAACATGTTGCTCACTATCTCAATCTCTAAACCTTGATTCAATTGAATATTTGTGGCTCAAACTCAGGAAAGCACACGCAAAAACTGGAGTGTCTGGGACCAAGAGAGATTTTGCCTGAAGGAAAATGCCTTTTGCAAAAAGCCCCTCTCCGCAGTGCCAAAATATCGTAGCATATTACAATAGTATCAGTTGTAATCCATGCCAAAAGGAGAATGTACAAAATGCGTACAAGGGTTGGAATAAACATTTTTCCACATGATGTCCCACATGTTTTTTGCACTTCAGTTATTTATGAAAATATGACTTTGCAATGCTATTAAGATCACAGTATAACATTTTCAAAATATTTAAGCAAGACATTATCCAGTTTGTACATTTTTCTATGCTTTCTTCCTGTTTCAATAGGTGTGTGTATAAACCCTACGAACTGTATATATAAACACACATTTAAATACTTTGTTATTAAATAATTTGATTATCTATACTGTGCCAAGTGTATAATGGCAAGCAACTTAACTTTATTGGATCACAAGCATTCTCATAGTCTAGTAGTAAGTGGTAGTTAACTTTTCTAGCGTATACTTCTACCTACAACCTCTATACCAATGAAACAATAATTGAGATGGAGAATTAAAACACTAACGGGATTGCATAAAAGTGTATACACAGCATAGACAACCATATTGAGCATGTTTTTAATTCAGAAACTTTAGAAAAACAGTATCCCTCCAGGACTGTCAAACCCTACCAGGCATGCACACTTTATCAAAATCACACCACAAACAAAATCTAATCCTTGCCTTTCAGTGGCATCAATTTCTTACCTGTGTGGCTTCGCATGTGAATTTTTAACCGACAGGCTTTGTCATATCGCTTGTCACAGCCGGGATACGTGCAGGAGAACTGGCCGATTTCCCGGAAGTGTGTGCGATTGTGAGAATACAGTGCGCTGAATGTGATGAAAGTCTTTTCACACCCTAAAAGACATTACACATTTCATGTCACAAATGACCATTTCAATTTCAATACCTGAAATGAGAACTGTTGCACCACTGCTGATGTGAGTTTATTGCAAATTTCCTTTCACAAAAACTGTAGAGCACTAAGGGGATAAAAATTGTTTAGTGGGCTTTTTTCATTTTCAAGCAGCAAAAGAACAAAGGCGATGAAAAGTTGTTAACATATATGTTGCACATCACTTTATTTACCAGAAAAAGGTGTGTAAGATATTAATATGTGAAAACAGTGAAATGGCTAGCTCATATACTTGTCATATCTGCTCTTCTGCATCTGAAAAAAAGAAATGGTTTTGCATGAAACCTCGTATTACTCTTGTGTAGAGTCATAGGCTACATTTATTTGAACAAATTTAAACAATTAATGCACTACTTAAATCTGATCTTTTATAGTGTGTGAAACGTTTACACATGGGATTAAGGTTTCAGACAAAAAATACACATGCATGCAGGTACACTTTTTCCCCCCAATAAGTCATGGTTTCACTTGGCAAACAATTCTGTTTTGTACAGACCCTACAATGGAATTTAAATGGAACTGTGTGGCCGTGAAAATATAAATGCAACGTTAAGACAGCAACCATCTGACTGCCCACTAAATCAATAACTTTTGTAAAGAATAAAGTGTAGATCATGTCACGTTCTAAGATGCACATAACTGCTCAACTGTATTGACATTCATGTTTATATATTAGTGCATCATATTGCATGTGATAGAAGTTTTGCTTGAGGCTTCCACCCAAAAAAAAAATCACTGCATTGCTTAGCTCCATTTTGAGGTAAACAACATTGAAAACGGAAAACAACCGAATAGTAATAACACTGAATGAAATTAGTTGTCATTCTTTTAAAGGGTTTTTAAAACCAGACTGACCTGGAAATTCACATTTATGAGGTCTCTCGGGCTCGAAGTGAGTTCTTTGATGATTGCTGAGTTTGGTAGCTGTTCGGAAGCGCTCGCTGCAGATCTCACACGCAAACGTGTTTTCCTGGTCGTGCGACTTGATGTGGGCTTTCAGGTTGTACACGGTGGTGAACTTTCGCCCACAGTTCTCCCACTCGCACGTGAAAGGCCGCACTTTGTCGTGGGACTGGAGGTGGCGTTTGAGTTTATACGAGGTGGTGAAGGACCACCCGCACCCTTCCACCGTGCATTTAAAAGGCCTCTGGTCCTCTGTGTGAGACAGCAAGTGTATTTTGAGCTTGTGTTTGGTGTCGAACGTCTTGCTGCAGTTGAGCTGCGTGCAGTGGTACATCACCAGCACCCCTTTCTTTGACATCATCGACCTGCCGTCGCCCAGCTTCATCTGCAATTCCCCGCTGTCCGTGACGACATAGCACCCCTGCTGTCCGTCTCTCGAGTCCGGGCAGACAATATCCGTCTCGTCCAGGGGACATAAGGTGCGCTCATCCTGGTCCTTACCGGATCCGCACGAATCCAGCGTGGAATTGGGATCCGAAATAGAGCAGTCTCCATTTAAACCCAGCCCCGAATCGGTCACAGACAAGCTGGGTCTCGTCTCTTCAAACTGCGCGGAACTCACCCCGGGGGCGTTATGTCGGCCCGGCGCTTTGTCGCTCGTTTTGGCCGCATTGTCGTAGTTTATCAGCACGATGTCCTGGCTGTCTTTCATGCCCAGCTGTTCCTTCAGGTTCACAAAAGCGTCGTCCCTGTGGTGGCCGGACGACGGAGGCGTGGCCAGAGTCAAAACCCCGTTTTCTATGGTAACGATAATGCTTTGGTTATTGATCATGATGGTTCCCGAAAACGACTCGTCCGGGGAGCCCCCTCCGCCGTTGTGCGGACCGGGGAAGTCGGGAACGCCGTCCTGGCCGTTTTCCACCCCCGCCTGGCAGGGCCGGTCATTTAACGGAACGGTATCCGTGAAGGCGGCGGCGTCAGAAATCAAATCATGGCTCCTGCTTGGCGGCTGGGGGAAATCGCCCGCTGCGTGCTGCTCACTTTTATCCGATGCCTGGTACGGCGGGTTACCTTTGTTCGCGTTTGCCATAACGCTTATCACCCCCGAATCGTAACCGAAACCCAGGCGCCCTTTCGCATTTACTCCCGTCCCACGCTCCACTTCACAACTTCCTTCGTTGTTGCACGACAGATTGAGAGGGGCGAAGGATTTCCTGGGGCTTGCGGGGTTTGGCATTTTTTCTTCTGGGGCGATCGTGCAAGCCTGCGTTTCCATCACGGCGTCCTTGGTTCCCTTCGGCGAGTCCTCTGTCTCTCTCGTTAAGGCGAGGGAGCGCCCATTTTCTTTACAGCTGCTGCTCTCCCCGTCCTGGACAATGTTGAAAACCACGTAGAATTCTTCGTTCTCTTTGCTGGAGGGATTCAGAGCGGCTGCACTTTCGCACATCAATGGCTGCGGCAGGGTGGCGCCATCTTGCAGCTGTCGTAAAACCTGCGGTTGAGGCGGCGGCTGCTGCGAGCCGCACTCCTCCGACAGCAGCACAGGAAAGGCCAGATACAGCCCGCTTTCTTCGATCTCAAAGTCACCCTTGAGCCCCGCTTCCCGGCCGTCTTGCTCCTTGCCACCCGATGACTGCAGATTACTCACGTTACGAAGCCCGATCGCCGCATAAGTCGGTGCTGATGTGTTGACAGTAAGGTTGTGCCTAGGACTAGAAACAAAACCGCTGCCATTTTCTGCCTGCAGTCGAAATGGAGAGGTCCCTGGTCTTTTGTTGCCGTCCTCCGGTTGGTGCGATTCCTGTTCTTTTCCCCAGTCGGTTGAACTGGAATGTCTGAAAACATTTTTGACTGTGGTCGGCTGAGGCTGGTCTGTCCTACAGGAGACGCCATGTTGTTGATGTATGTTTTGGGCTGCGAAAAGCCCCTGGATTTCCATCTTGGTATCCCTGTAGCAGAAACACACAAAATCCCCGCCCCCTACAAACATGTAATAAGAGACTTCTTGTCACTGCCCAGAAGTTAGGGGCAAACTGTGGCACGGAGCAGAAACGGAGCAGAGTCGTGGTCATTTCGACTGCTATCAAAATTAACTTACCACATAATATCTCTGTAATGATGATGGATGAAAAAAAGAACGCGTAAGACGTCTCTAGTGTGAGAACGGCCATTGCAAAAGTAGTATAAAGGGGGTGAAATACAAACGACGTTACGTGTTATTGACTAGATAACACTTCGAGGCACCCCTGCAGCAGAGCTGTATTCAAACGCGTATCATTAAATAAGTATCCCCCCTTTTATAACACAGCCGTGGTTTTATTATCAATACAACAATACGGGATTTCGTATTTGTCGTTTTCCCCATTTTGATAGAGCTGACTTGCTCTTGAAAGTGATCTTAATTTCTGTAGGTTTAAATTGCACTAGACTCCAGGGTGTATCTTCTGTTATTTTATGTAACAGTCGCATCATGTGAAAAACTAAGAAAAAAATAACTTTGGTATTGAAGAAATCACTGTAGATAGAAAGAAATAAGACGTTACACAGGGGAACTTCTCATTTCTTTGATGAAATTACATTTCTGGCCACATGGTGGAGCAAAAGTGTATTGAATAAATCAAAAACAGCCGCTGCCTTTCAAATACCACGAATAATGGGCTTTAAATTACTACGTCGTCAAAAAAAATAATACCCCAGATTGTTCTTTCATTTATATACGTGCTATAATCTTCTATCATATTCTAGGATTTTCAAATATAATTGAACACATTTAACAATGTAAATAAGCTATTGCATATTTTTCAGCAGGATCTATTATTTTTGTAATATTGCAGTCTTGTTAAAGATGTGTAGTTGCTCTGTTGTAAATTCATTTTGTTTAATATGCAATAGTTAATGAGTTTATCAGGCAATTGTTTTATTTGCCATATATATTCATGTATTTTCTACACAATCTACCACATTTGAAAACTACACCTGCAGAGCAGAATTTTAATATTATGTAGTGTACATATTCAAAAGCAATGTGAATATCAGTTGTATACTAAGATTAAAGGATAGTGCATAATTAAACACTGTTGTAGTGTAATTTTTGTAATGTTTGTTCTCACTGTTTTGTTGTGTTGTGCTGTGTTGAACAAATTTCCCCCAGGGGCTAATAAACTTTGAATTGAAGTTTGGATGATCTGATGTAGAAAAAATTCAATAAAGGTGAGAGTTTCCAACAGAAACAATCACAGTGTTTGAATTATGTTCTGCACATTTTATCACATTTGCTTGTGCAAGAAGTCCATATCAGAATTATTGAGAACATTTCTCTGCAGGACTCAGTAATTCTTACAATTAACCTTACACAAAGTGATTGCTGTTGCCCAGCTGAGGAAAACTACCACAACCAATCTTCGCAACCCCGAGTTTAAAGAATATATTTTAAATAATATTTTAAGAAAAGACATCTTCATCCAGTTTAAAGAATATTCAACAACTTGTAAGATGTAGAAGTACTGAATCTTTTTCTAAAAGAGGATAATACAAATAAACACCTAAAATTGTATGGAGTACAACAAGAAAGATACTTACAAATTTCATAACTCACATTGAACCCAAGAAAGGTTTGTTCTGATACTTTCATACTGTTTGAGTCTTTGCTTAATCTCATTTACAATCCTCAAAAAAACTTTCAAAGTAATTTATGTGGTATTTAATTAAAACTGAATTCCAGAACAGTCACACAAGTTTAAGACAGAAACATTTAAAAATATTTTGGAAAGAAAATACACTGTGCTTACCCAAAACCCAAAGTGACCCAGTTTCAATGTTTTGGATCTAAGAGTCTTTTGATGTTGTCTAGTAAAATTTCAGACCAAGCCATACTAGCCACAAAAATACACTTTTTAACATAATTTTGCATTTTTTTAAATATATGGGGTTGTTCAAAGAACTGCAGATCTATTCCCATTGGTGAATTTAACTTTGATCATCCTCATGCTCTAAATAATCAAGGCCTGTAACAAAAGGCATCCACAAACTAATTTCGAAGGGGGTTTTAATTAAGAGAACATAATCTTTTCAAAGACTAGCTGAAATTGTATGAACTAATTTTAGCACAAAATAGTATAAACAAAATCGGACATATTAGTATTTGATGAAGCTTTCGAGTCAAGGGAAGTTATGTTAAAATTGAACAATGCAGAGTAAAGCAGAATACTGTGAAAACTGTGGTTACCACACTTTAGTGTGCTGAAGATGCTGAAGATTAATTGAAAGAACGTCCTTTTCTGACAGGTTTAAGGAACCAAAACACTTCAGGAGCGAAACACAAAGTCGACTCAGTTCAAGCATTTAAAATGCTCATATCAAATTGACAAAGTCAACCCAATAGACACCTCCAAAATAAACAGAGAGACATGATTAAGAGAGCACAAGCTGAAATTAAGGGGGAGAGCATTATTAAACAAAGGGTATTGGGAGTTTTGGAACAAGCTACCTACAGTAGGAACATTGTTGAAGCTGATACCCTGACGTGTGTCTCTGATTGTCTGATTAATAACCTGCTTACAATTACATAAGTTAAAAATGGCCAAATGATCTATTCCCATCTATACTCTTCTTGATGTTCTTATGTTGTAAAAGAAAAGTATTAATCTGCCTTACACAATTTCACATGTATCATATCCATGACAAAACTGAGTTTTCTTGTTGAGAAATATATTATTTCTGTCATATTAATGATACTTTATTCCTTGTCCATTACATATAGAACAGTATTATATTTTGAATTGGTGACCAAATTAAATTTACAAGCCAAACGTTTCCTAACCCATGATTAATGAAGGAAATATTCATCCTACTTCTCTTGCTCGGCTTTGGCAAGATACCTGATCTCCAACTATATGCTTCATAAAGTATTATTGGGGGGTTAAAACTCTGCTTGAAATGAAAATGTAAGCTATATCTTTTAAAATCCTAGTTTAACTTTTTACAATGCAGATTAACAAACTGCAGGGGAGACATGTTCACAATAGTGTCATTATCTTGAAGGAGAAAATGTGAATTCCTTATTTTCTCATCTTTTTCTTACTGAACTGACAGAGGATTAGAGAAGTTATTTGTTCTCGATTTTACTTCAACGACTGACACCTAAATGGTTAGGATGGATGTGCTACTGTGCAATGCAGGTCTGATCAAATTTCAGTTTAACACTTGTTTTACCTAGAGAACTATATGAAACAAAACAAATTGATTTACAATATTCCCATTTTATTGTAATGCAATAAGGCCTAGATTATTTTCATGAATAATTTATAAGCATCCCACATTTAATTTTAGATTATTATAACACCTCCTGTTTTCCTGTTTAAAAGCCCTGGGACAGCAGTTAATTTTCTGGTGAAACACCATCTTGGAGTCACCATGCACCCCTGAGTATCAGATTTTAATGTTCCACTGCTATGAATAATAAATGGAGGAATTGCACAAGTCCACATCTGGGGACTCTTGCCATTTTGTAATGAACCTACCCAAAGCCAAATATTTAATTTAATGTACATTGTGGGGTTTACATGCAATACACACTGTGCTCATTAAGCACAGTAAAGTAATCAATATTGTCTAGGGAACTGCTACCTCGCACTTCTCCAGAAAATCAGACAGTTAATTATGGCTTGTGTATGGTTTTGTATCCTGCTGTGGAAAAAGCATTGGCATAATTATGTACAGCACTGATATGCTTATGCACTGTACCAGAGCACAGGATGATATGAAGATATGCAAATATAAACAGCACCACTTATTGATGGTAATGCAGCATTAGTAGATGGGGGACGCAGATAAGAGTTTTAACTAGCGTGTAGGGGAAGGATTTTACCTGTTGCTAGGAGATTTATCATCCTGAATTGCTGTGAATCTGTGCAAATCTTGCTTAATGACTATCAATCTTGTGTCAATTTTATTTCCATTTGCTGCTTACATCATACATAATCTCTCTTTGGTTCTTTATATTTTTGCCTTAGACCTTCAGTTGCACACAAAGAGACCAAAAAAGAACATAAGACCTTCAATATAAAGTTGCTATTTTGCCTAAAGACTGCTCCACTTGCAAACACTTATACATTTCATATTGATTAACTATATTTGAATATACAAGACTGAAAAAACAGTATGTCTTCATATGTTGGGGAACTTGAATATTTGTATTTATTTTAGAAAGGAGAAAATGACACATGGTTTTGGAAAAGCCAGCACCTAAGGCCGGATCTGTCAGGCCATCTACCCTTTATTATAAAAACAAAGACCAAGTTGTACTATTAATTATACTGTTTTTTTCCACATAAGGAGTACAAGTTTTAAAACAGACCGTGGTTGGTTTTTAAAGTGAGACACTCAGAATCCTTGAGTATAGTCCATAAAGCTTTTTCCATTACTCAAAAAGCTGTCATATCTAAAATATGAACCGTTGTCTTACAGGTATCTCTCAGCACCCAATCAAAAGAGCCCAGGCAAGCCATTATCATTAGCGTTTACTTGCTACATAAATGGTCTTAGGGAGAGACATCACAGTACTAGTTTCATCTTACAGTGCAGGACCTTATTACACAAGCCAGGACCTAATTCTGGACTGGCTGGACAGGAAAGAAACTCCTAACTACTAAACGGATTATATTATGTTTTATCTTTTTAATTCACAGTGAAGGTAGAATAATCTAATGTCAGAACTCAGGTGATTGATGGGAAAACCGAATAAAGCAGAAAAAATGGTACAAGTAGGCTGTATGTTTTGTCACGTTCATATCCATGTTAAGAAAAAAAATGCTGCATGACATCCATTTTTGTCACTTGGAGCACACTGTACAGTATGAGTAATACAATAAGCACAATTTCTTTATTCCATGATTGATGAAGATGCAGACTTAGTAATGGAATTAGAAATCATGTCATCGAGCATACCATCTGGGCAGACCCATTCTTCAAACAGACAGTTATAGGCTGTAAACACAGTTCTGCTGACTTTAATTACATGGCAGCAAAGTGAATGATCCATGAAATAAAGATTTCCTCTTTAGAAATATTCATGGTTCTAAGAGAAATCAGATGAAAGGTTAGCTGTGTAAAATCAGTTGCTTAGCAATGGAAGCTTTCCAAAAGGAAATTCAGCTTGCCTTCCCTACATATCTTCACTTTAGATTAGCTGAACAGAGAGGTACTTTATAGTATTCTGAACACAGGCAGCTTCCTCGCAGGCATTGAGGGATATGAATTTCAAAACATGGCTAGACGAAACAAAATTAGAGCAGAAACAGAACTGAAAACCAAAAGAATGGGAAAATTGCCCCTTTGATTATAATGTCTGCCTCAAGGGCTAATAAATGCAAAATATTTTTTAATTAAATATTCCCACCAAAGCCTTCAGAAATTTGTACATGTGAAAAATAAGGTCTTCTCAGTCTGCCACCCAAGTATTTCACACAAGATACAATTCCCCACAGATCAGGCTTTGAAAGAAAGGAATCCTGAAGCTCCTGAAGTGAATGGACCTTTCCTATTGGCCAGCATCTCCCAAATGTATTATTATTCAGCAAATTTAACTTAAATGTCCATTTCCTGATACGACTGTCAATTGTAACATATGTAGACCTGCAGAAAATTTGTAAATCTAAAGCATGAAAAAATAAGTGTTTGAACCCTGGAGAAAAAAATACTGCCGTAAAAGTACAGTACATAGCTTTCTATATATACACTGTAGTTAGAAGTCAGCTACATTTTAACATTTTGTGAGGTGTTGTACTGCTGTAATTAATGGAGTTTATGATGATTGGCTGGATGGATAATTAGCCTTTAATTCCCTCACTCAATCAACTTCTCCCCACAAAAAAAATAAGAGTCCTGACTTCCCACCATTCACTGCAACATGCCATGAACCTGATCTTCACCATCCTGGCTGCAGTCCCTTTGCTCAATTGGGGGTTCAGAGTCCTTATGGCCAGGACGTCATTCCTCAAACTTTCCTCAATCAATAACTCCATGGGGCATGTCATAATCTCCTTGAGCCATGTAACTCGAAACCTTAAACTGATTGGGGAAAAAAAAACCCAAGTACAATTAGCAAATTGTGTATTTATACATACAGTAGTTGAAACCTGAACAACATCAGTAAGAACTACTCTAAACATGTGCATAATTCCTGTAAGAGCAACTCTAATGAATCTAGCCTCACTTTAAAATGTTGTATTTTGAAATATATACCTCAACTCTAACTGTATAGGTTTAATAAATCAGTATTATAAGGTGTTAGATTTATGTTTTCGGAGGGAGAAGAAAAATAAAATGAAAATAAAAGAAATATACCCAGAGGTTATTAAAATACAACGAATGATATTGATTTCAATACTCCTTTTTGGCCTAAAAAAAAAAAAAAAAACTGGAAAACCCCCTGAAGTTCCGGAAAAAAAAAAGGGGAAAAATCCAAAGGGGAAAAAAGCCAAAAAAAAAGGTAATTAAAACCCCAACAAAAAATTACAGTAAGTAAGTTCATCTACTAATTCATATTAACTGAAGCTATCTAGAACAAGAACAAATTGTTTTCAATTGTTTCAAACACAAATGAAAAATACAGAACTGTTAAATTTAAAGTGCTTTAATATTGCCCATTATATTCACATCAATATAGCAAAGTTGAAAATCTGAAGACATAAGCCGAAATCATTTACAGTCATACAGTTTAATTGACAACATGAAACACATCTCCATTAACTCCTTATGTAGATGACCATAAACTTATCACCAGTGAAGCAAGAGTGCAAGATCTGAAAAGCGTGAAACACAATATTGTGAAGAAATTAAATCTGACATTTCAGGAATAACTTTAGGGGTTAAATGGAAAAATGGGTCTGAATATGAAATTTGTAACTACTGTACTTTTCCTATTTTGAAAAATATGTCATACTGTAGCTCGACTTCTCTGAAAATTTTACAAAATGTGATTTCTAACTGCTGGTTGTAGCGTTTGTGGTTATATTTGCATGTGAGTCCGCCGCACTATTATGAACTTCATAATACAGTTCAGGCATTGGAAAATGCCAGAAAAAGAATGTAATTCTGAAGAGTGGTCATTCAATCTTCAGTCACGATGGCAGAAAACACTACAACTGATCCGGGGCAAAAAAAAAAGTCCTCTTTAAAGAGAGAAGTACTCACCATGCTGCACACAATTGACAAAACACTGACATTAACTGCTTTGAATTCTTATGCATCTAGTTTCACACACATATATGAAAATCCAGCAACATTGAAACTGTGCATGGACAAAGTTCAGAACTTTGAATATCTCCTTTGACTTCTTTTACATTATACTATTTATTGTACAGAAATAATTTTTGGACAAGAAGGACATCAAGCTCAATCACTCCTTTTCATTTGAAGTTAGCTCCACTTTGGAAAACAGTTTACTGAAATGACAGTTTTGTCAAATGGTTATTATAACAGCTTTCCCTTTGTCTTGTCCTGAGCATGAAGCTTGTATGCATGCTCAGTGTTCTCACTAATCTTTACACTGTACTTCATATATTCCATTTCTTGTGATTCATTACTTTTGCACAATGGATTTCTAGCACAAACTATTTTGTAGAGAATGAGAAGGAGACAATGAAGGATAAATCATCAATGTGCATTTCCATAAATAATTCTAACAGAGGAAAAAAAGAGCACAACCACAGAAAGGGTTGTGAACCACTAAGTTAGTACTGTTTTTTTTATTCTTTTGAAGCTTTTACACAGGGTTGTCAACAGTTACAGTATATACCATACAGTGTATGGTATGTTTACCAGAAGGCATAACAGAAACATTTGAAGTCATTTTATACATGCCTAGAACCATTTCCATTACACATAGCTTTCAATGAAGCTTGAAATAAAAGCTAACAAACCCCTTTACCAAGAAAATAAAATATTTCTTTTATTACTACTTTATATGCATAACAGGTACTAAATATGTAATCTTACATTGGTTAATGGTAGCAGCAAAATGGGTTTAATTTAAATAAACATTTATACCCTTGACAAACTATACAGTACATTATAACATACTGCAAAGGTAGATAGGGCAGTGTTTAAAACCTGTTGATATCAAAAGGGTGAATCACAAAAAAGAAAATGCTGTTCTTTGTGAGGATTAAAATATATTATTGATCATCATCTTTCATTTCATATTCTGATATTAAATATTTTGGACAGATTTTGTGGAAATGGTCCCTTTTGACAGTTTTAAATCTAAATCAGTTCCTTTAGCAGACAGCTTTCTTTGGTTAATGGAATTTAATCACTCTGCGGACTTTGGAAGAAAATTGGAAAAAGACGTTAAAAAGTACTGTGATGTGTTTCAGGAAATACAAAATTTTCCAAGTTTATCTCTCTGGACCTAACGTGGAACTTTGCCTGATCTGTTCTGTATTGAATCTTATGCTTATGATGATCACAGTCATATATGGATATTAACAGCTCTTTCCATTTTTGTTAACGGCTCAAACATTATGGCAAGAACTGGAAGATATTTTTTATTACCGAGTTTAAAATTCCAGATTCACTCTTAATTTGCATCAGGTATATAGTAATTAAGTCTTGGTTTCATCATTCATGACATCATAGTCTCAGTTGATTTAGATTCTGCATGATCTTTAGAAACATACAAAAGAGAACCCCCCCAAAAATTAAAACAAATAATATTTCCAATTGAAAATAAAACTTTAAAGACAAAGCTGAAGGTAAATGTTTTAGACAAATTTTCACTGAACAATTCTGTTTCTGTAAGGGAAAACAACTCAAATGTGAATGGTTCTCCATAGTATTGTCATTTAATGACACACAAGAGCATATATTCACATTAAATGGCATAAATATAACACAATTAGGACAAGCAGACATTACGTCTGTGCTAAAAGTAAAAAGAAAAACAAAACACACTCCTGGAAAAGGCACCAGAAAATTGTGTTTTTCTTCTTTTTGATTACTTTTCACTGTGAAATCAACCTCTGCTTGCTCCCTTACAGCTCACATGCTGATGCATCTCTCCACTTCATCTTTTTCACAAAAATAGCACACTTGTTAATGAAATGAAAAGTCCAGGTTTCCAATTTCCAAGATTTGATTAAAATGTCTTATACTTGTAGGTGAGTCATTGTGTTTTATAATTTGGCTTCACTTTTAAAGTAAATTTCCATCCACAGCTTTCGAAGTATCATGAACATTTAGTCTACTGTATGTATATTGTGGTGTCTGCAATTGAAAAAGAAAATCAGTCTATTTTAATCAAACTACTTTATCTTTACACAGTATATTTGCTTTTTCTAAGAATATACAAGACCAAGAGCAACAGTGACGACCAGAAAATATACATTGACAATCCAAAGTGCCAGTATAAACAAGACCAGTGTTTTTTCATAAAACTCATAGTTCAGATGCTGCATTTACACTAACTGAAGGTATTTGAAGGATAACGCCAATATATAAGGACAAAGGCTGGGCATGCAATGCGTAAATTACAATACAAGATCAGCTTTACAACTCAGTCACAGGACAATTAGAAAAAACACATACACATTTTTAATGATGAAATTAAGGCCACGCATTCTTAATCTATTTCCCCCCCCAAGTATTAGGACTGCTATCGTTAACATGTAGAAATAGCTGCCATTTGTGGTGAGATCTCAATTGACTTATACCATATATCTTCCTCCAACAAACCTTCTTCTAAGTTAATACTTTCAGCTAGACAATGGATATAGTATTTACAATATCCGGTAAGTATGTTAGTTTTATTCAAGAAAAGGTAATGTATCCTGGTTCACAGTCTAGTATATTTAATACTCTGTGACATACACATCAGTTCCATGACCAGAGGGCCTTTAAAGACTGTATGGTTGCAGTTTGGGTTCAAATCTGGGGGTTTTAATTGGATTTTTATCTACCCATATCATGCCAGGTTTGATGAATGCTTTAGTTTACCCTCTAGGATGTAGGATCATCTAGGATTGAGCTCGGGCATCATCATATTATTCCACTTGGATAATCTACACTACCATCCACAAGAAGAGCAAAAAAAAAAAAAACTGTCAAGTGTCCATGTCAATCACGACCACTGACACTCATCAGCAGCACTTTTGTGGGTGAGTGATAAGGGAAGTGTCAAGAAACAACTTGAGGCCTTATATACACACAGTCATCCCTGATTTGGTACGAATCTGTGGTACTGAGCAATATCTCTGTAAGATTACTACAAGCCTTAGAGCAAAAGTAAAAGGTATTGATCTTTATTTCACTACCTGTGTGGCAAGGTTGCACTGTTGTACTTATTAAAAATGTTGTGTTAATGTGTAATGGTAAGTTAGGGATTTTTTTCAAAAACTGAAAATGAATATAGAATTTGAGCCAATATCCTCCTCTTGCATCCCAGTGTAATTAATAATTACTTCTAATTTTTAAGACATTATAAAAATGAATTTCCAATTTAACTGTGAATAACCTTAACTTCAGTTTACTGGTAAAAGTTAACAATAATGTACTTTGGGGAAAAATAAGCCGTATTTTAAATGAGATGGCAATATGTGGGAAAATTAAGTCACTGTCACACACAGGCTGTTTAAGATGTCTCATTTAAGCAGGGAAACAATATAGTTATCACACACAAATTTTAAGGAACGTTGATAAAGAGACTAGGTTTCACAATATAGCTAATACACATTTGTTAATGGCTTTACTGCAGTCAGTTTTACTCATCATAAGTAGAAGCACAGAAGAAATAAGAAAACATTAATTATTTGTAAACATTAATGATTAATCTATGAGTTAAGACTTTCATATACAGTATTTAAAGAAGTGAGGAACTCACAAATGTTTTCAAGGCTAGAAAAGCCAAGAATAGCCTATACAACAGTTTCAAAAAGGGCTTTTAATTAAGTCCCAAGAAGTACTGAGAAAAATCCAGAAACTGAGCTCCCAAGACACTGCAAATTAGCTTGGGAAGCATCAGCCTCAGCTTCGTACAAGTTGCAAATTAAAGCAAAAATTATTTTGCAAGAAGCCTTCAGTGTCCAATTGTGTGATACTCCCATGGAAGGAGACAACAGTTTTTGCTTTCAACCTGCTTGTATACAACGTTAACCTTAACATTTAGTTAACAGAAATAAACAAACCTTCTCTGCAACCTGGGCGGAAAAAACCTTGCCAACCGTGACATTCAAGGTAAAAGAATAAAAGACAAACTAAGTACTGCTTTGATAACTGTTACAGACAATTCAAGCTATATTTTTCTGCAGGCATCCAGCCCATTATAAATTAATTTACAACGGGGTGGGCAGCTGATACAGATAAGAAACAAAGACTTGTTTATCTACTGCTGCTTGGCTTCATGCCATTGATTTTATTCTAGTTTATTAAATTGTGAGGATTTATTGTGTCCAATTTCTATTACACATCTACAGTAATTTTGATCTAAGTTCTTGCATTTATGTTTTGCTTTTTTTTTGCCCTGATGTTTTTGTATTTTTCTTTGTCCTGAATATACAATAAAAAACAATTTCTCTGCGTAATAATATTTGGACATACAGTAGTACTCAGTACATTCATAATAATAAACAGAATCATGCAATCATATTAAATAAGAACTACGATCAGCAGTATGCTTTCAGGTTTGCTCTCAATCCAAAGCGTGATATACAGGTAATTCATTTTTCAAATACCATTCTCAGTCTCATAAAGTGTAATGTTAACTGTTGCTAATGCAATATTATTTAGAGAAGTAGCAGTAATAAGAATTAAATAATTTGATGTGCTGCAAAGTAACAATGTTAACACAAACCGTCTCTGTAATGAATGCTTGTCTATAAACTTTATAGTCCATAAATTAAAATAAATAATTTATTTTGTAGTTCAACAGTGTAGTCACATTTCTTCATAATCCTTCTGTTTTTGCCGTAACCCTCAACAGGGGAGTAAACTGAAATGAAAATGTTTTTTCCTTAAAAAACACAAGCTAAAGAGTAATGTGTACATTCTTTAGCCATATTTAGAAAATTGTGTTAATAGGGTCTTTGATCCATGAAGGAAGAGATACAAAACATTCTGCATTAACAATGTGATTTGGTATAAAGCTGTTCTCACAGGAAAAGGTAACTTCTAAGCTGGACTATATATAAAAACAGACATTTTTAGCACAGCAAGTTGTTTCTTGACCTAAACATGTGACACAAGGAGATACATAAACATATGATTTGCCTAAATAAATAAAACTTATTTAAAAGTGCCAGTTTAAATAACTAAATAAACCCAATAATGTATTTCAAAGAAGAGTAATAAAAGTACCAACTCCTAACCTAATTCTGATGGTTTTGCTACATTACAACATCTTTAAATGCAGAAAGTTGTATAAAGACCACAAAATATCTGTAGAATAAGGAATAATCAAATTATTGCTTTTCAGATTCTTAAATGTCAGTTATATTGTACTCTGTACTAAATATCAAGTAACAGTAAATGACTAAAAATATTATTTTGTCAGGAGGGAAATCATCATTCAATTGGCCCAGATTTCTATCTACCCCTGTTACGCCTGAAACTTCTTTCAAAGAGCAAAATCTCTTTTTAAAGATTTCAAAAAACCTCGAGGAGCTACAGAGAGATGTTTAGAATTATATATTGTCTTTCCCCACTTTGGAGAATATTTAACAGGAATTTGAAACCAGCTATTTGAAGACAGTAACTCGGAATTTGCTCTGCTTCACTGGATACCGGAATTAATGAATTGCCCACAGAGGTGACATTCACAGATATTTACAGAGAAGTATTTGGCAAAAACACTATCAAGATAAGCCTCTCTTAAGGCCAGCTCTTCCAATCGACTCCACATGTTTTGCAGCTACTGCAGATTCCTGCAAATGTTCCAGTCAATTGTGCAAGACAGCTAAAATGACAGCCTTCTCTTTTCCCCCCCCTTCAACCTCCCTTTCTTAAAAAAACAAGAGACAGACATTCAAAAGACAGAGAGAACACACTAAAGTAGATGTGCTGCACAAAACTGGTTTGCATACTTTTGTTGTAAAACTTTGTGGTGTTTTAAGCAAACTGCACTGGGGTCAGCTTTCATTGGCGGTGAATAAAACTGAAGGAAGAAGATCTTCTTCTCGCATGCAGTGTTTGGTATGAAGATTTGTTCTTGTACCCAGTATGTGCCAGGGACAATCTGGTTTAATTTACAGAACACGTAGCTGAAAACTGGCAGTGCTGGAGGTCATGGACATTTCTCTTTGGAGCCATCTTAGATGCGCATGTGAAGAGATTGCTGTGTGGTACTTCCCAGTGCTGGACGAGGTTCGATCCCACGCGATTTCATGAAGGAAAGCAACTGTTCGGGGATTTCAGCGAGCACGTCCTTGGCCAGCCTAGCCATGCTTAGAACTTGGTTTCCAGAGCGGTCAATGTAATCTCGGAATGGCACGAACTAGGAGCAAATCAAAAGGCATCAAGAGAAATTTTAATTTTTTAGACGCTATCAAAAGGTTCTCCCAAGGGGATACTGTACATACTGAAAGCAATGCAAAGAAAACGACAGCTGTGCCGATGCAAGTTTCATTAAAGCTGACGTAACTACAAAAAGAATGTGGAATGAATCAAGACATCAAGTAGAAACAAATACAGATTAAGAAAATAACACAGCATAACACATTTTAAACAGCATTTATATCTAACTGACAATTTAAAACGGATATGTGTTTTCTTTGTGAACATAAAATTACTCAGACACTATTTTAAACTTAGTGTCACTCTGGACACATTTGACATTCATTCTATACGCTAACATTATATTAGGTAGCATTTAAAAAAACATTTTAGTAAAATGTAGAACAAACCAGATTATCATTGCCTTTGTTTTTTTGAAACTCCAAATTGCTATGCAGTATTTTGCTCTTCCATTTTATCCATTATGGAATTGTTCCCCTTAAGGTCCCAGTATTCATTCTAACTTTATACATGTAATCAGGCAACACCTAATCATAGGCAAATCTAAGCCCAGTGTTACTCTTTTAGAATAATAATAAGGAAGGGAGAGCACTGTTACTGATTGCTATAAATGGCAGCTGTAGAAGCAGCAGTTACCAAAAATGACATCTTTATTACAAAGGCTGAGAGAGGGATTAAGTTAATGGCTATGCTCACAACAGAAGACCTGAAATCACTTCGAATTGCCCTGTAATGAAATGCAGCTGGAGCATGCAGAGTTACAAAAATGGTTAGAAGCATGCAAGGTGCTTCTTTACCTGGACAATGTCTCTTTCTGCAAACTGTCCTCTTGATGAGACCCTCACCTCATCACCATCAAGCTCTTCCATGGCTGTGCAAAGATAACAATAATCAGAGTATGCTTGGGATAAGAGACGAGGGCCTCAAACTGAACCTTCCACAAAACTAGTATCATAAGTATCAGCACTCATGTTTAGATCAATGACTAGGACTTGGTTCTTTACTTACAAAGTGGTGGGTGGACCAGAACAAACTGCCTGGTCATGTTGCTGAAGTTTATTCTATTGGATCATTCAAAAAATGGAAAGAGGAGATGCTAAGGTCTATTATCTACTGATAACAATATGAGTAAAGAAGATGTAAGAGCCTCTAGACGTAAACAGCCTCTTCTCAGTTGTAGTCTTTCATCCATCCATTTTTTAACTGCTTGATCCAATCAAGGGGTGTGGAGGAGCTGGAACCTATCCTGGCAAGCAATGGGCAAAAGGCAAGATACACCCTGGACGGGACACAAATCCATCACACGGCAGACACACAGATACAAGCACACACACTCATACACTCACACCAGGGCCAATTTTTCCATTGGTTCTAATGCAGTAGATTCTGAAGCCGCTGACAAGCTTCTGAATCTACTGCAACAGAACCAACAATTACTGGTCGAATCTTCGTTTCTCTTCACTCCTGTGCACCAAAGCGATGGATTGAGATTATTGCGTGTGCTGGGTGACAATCATAAATTTGAAGAGAACTTGTTGAACATGAATATATGATTATGTATTGGTTCAGAACCAGCCTGCAATATAAAAAGTGCTGTCTGACCTCTACATTTATTGTCCCTTCACAACAATCACATGAAAACCACTGTCAAGGTTCCCTTTAAAATATGCCTATAAATTACTATAAGGCCCAATGACACAATAGTACCGTCATTTTAATGGAAGCAATGATGTTATACACAGAGTCACTTGACAGTTCTACTATAAGTAAACCCTTGCATGTAATGCTCTGACACCATTTACATTCATCCATTTATTTTTCTAGCAGCTTTATTCAATGCAGGATCGCAGGAGACCCAGAGCCTATCCTAGCAAGTAAGGGGATGTAGACTTTGGACAGGTAGCCAGTACTTTTTATACTTTTTTATTTTTTACAATTTTCCAGCATAGTAGTCCCTGCACAGAACCAGTAACAATCTAGACAACACAGAGGTCCATACCTCAGTCAATGGTTCTTTTATCATGGGAAGGTGTCAGTATTGAAGATTTTGTTAGGACAAAGTCTAGGATTTGTTTAAAGTGAAATACCTTGTTTGATTGCTTAATGCTTCTGCATTAAAATCATTTAAGTGCCACAGAATCCATCAGACATTGTGTCATACAATAACATGAAATCCTGTTTACTTCAAAAGGAAATAGCTACATCCAGAAAATTTGTTCAAGCACATCTGAAAAACATCTATTTTATCTATTTCATTTACTGCTACTGACAGCTATTGCTCCATACTGTACATTCCTATTTTCCAAAATACATTGCAAGCTTCCAAATCCTGATGATGGATATACAGTAATTTTAGTACAGTTAAAGTAATTTCAATTATCTTGTAACTGGTTTTAGGGATTTTGAATTGCCAAAAAAACATACAGACAGTTTTCTTCCCCTAAACGGCCATTTCCTGCAAAGATTATCCATAAGAAATTTACGAGGACTATTATAAAACACTATTTCCAGTGCAATTATAAAACTTAGGTCTGTAATCAAACAATTATTTTTATTATTTTCATAAGTGGGACAATCTTAACGGTTTCTAGAGAATCTTCCATTCATGAAACACAATTTGTCGGCTAAACATAGGAACAAACCAACAAAACGAGACGTCTATACAATAGCAACAACATAAATGAATAGAATCTGTGCAAGCCAAGCGGTCATTAATTTAATGAGGTTTTTCTTAAGCATATTCTGTCAGGCTATAAGATGTAGGAATCGATTTCGACGGTGCTTTGGAAAATACTGTGGTACAGCAGATGGCTTCAGAACAAGGGCAGGAAGGGCACAGACATTTTGACCTCAAGGGACTGGATATACAAAACCAGACATCTGCTGCCAGACAGAAGGTTCCCTAGACCTCCTATGTGAGTCTTACTAAGAGCCACACTCTCCCTCCCTCGCTGTTAAGCACTGCAGAGAACCGACCAGGCTTATAAATTGTTAGCCACAGGCTGCAAGACATCAGTAGCATAGCAACCAGAGGTGTCACTGAAAAAAACCTTCTTGTTATCTGTTTTTCAAATAGGTCCAGTTTAGTCAACTAGATGGCACCAGAGGTTAATTCAACAGTCTTTCAGGACTTTTAGCCTCAGATTTAAGATGGTTTCAGAATAAAATAATTTACAGCAGTGTCCATCCATTCAGTTTCAGTTGGCTTTTTCTCATGAGAGTCATGTTTTCTGAATAGTGTCAGTTTCTACAATTATAGGGTAACTACTTTGCCACAATTCATTACCCTCCTTGGATTAGAAATGACTGAGTGCGATTTCAGATTAAGGTATCCTGTATGTAAGGGTTTTTATGCAGAGCTTACATAGAGGACCCGTTCTATTCAAACAGCAAAAATATTGGGACACTTTCATGTTTATAAATTGTTTTATGTATAGATATATTGTTTTTCATGGTAATCTCATACTATACATAGAATAATATCTTGGGGCTAGTCAAGTTAACCTTCCATTAATATATATCACATGTTCTATGTGTTGGAATTCTATATTTCTAATCTGGCTCCATCACGATTGCTAAAATATAAGAAATATATTGATAATAGCAATAAGCAAGTCTAAATTACTGTTTAACTGTCACCAAACATTTTTTACAGTACTCTTCAATTTAACAATCTTAGTAGATCAAAGAGTATAATCACATCATAACATTTTTAGAATTAGACGCTTTCTAATCTCTAACTCATTCGAATGTATGGTTTTTTGTTATTTTATCAGGGTGTATAAGTCTGAAGGGCACTGTTTATCACAGAATATTAATTGTTGTTCCACAGAAAATCATATTCTGGTGTACAATAAATCAGTAGCTCACTGTGAAAATATTGTTATTTACTTTTCTTAATAGTGAGCAGATAAGTATGTTGATTAAGAACTGTTCCTTGGCATACTTTTATGAAGTCACAAGCAATGTAACTTTGGATATCTGCATAGAGCTAATTAAGAATATGTATAAATAGCCAAGGAAAAAGCCATGATTGTAGTTAATGAAGCAGCTGCAAGAAAACCAAGATTGCTTGGTTGCTATGGGCATGACTGAAGGCAGACTGTCTATGAGAAGAGTTGCCTGAAGAATGTTCCATTTAAAACAATGTAGTTGTCCACAGAACCCCAAAGACAGCTTTTTGAATGGGTCCTCAGTGTCATTATATTCTGTAATAAGTGATTTTATTAATTATTGGTGTTGCACCCCCTTTTTTTAAATTTGAAATTTAAATCCAGGCTCATGCATTTGTGTTTCAAACTGCAGCCAAGATAAACTGTGCAGAATTCCAGCAGGAGTCCAAATAATCAGTAATCAGCTTGTGCAATACAGCAGACACCACTCGTAAAGGGAGGGAAATTTATTTTTAAGACCGAAAAAAATAAAAACTAACCATGCTTATTCAGAGTTTGCCCTATGACTTTGCAAAGGTAATTATCTGAAACTCTGCAGCATTTGCAGGAGCAAATTTATTTTCAAATGCGACTCTTGGCATTGTTGGCTGATCAAAGATTCTGCTCCAGCATCAGTCCGTGTAAACTAAAGATAGTTACAAATTTAAACATGCAGACTCTACATAATAGGTCCCTCTGAGATGCGTGCTCTTCTTAGGCAAGCATAATGTGGTCCATTTTGAATTTTGTTTTACTGGGCTACTTGGCAGAATCACCCAATGCAGGAGTTAAAACTTAAAATTTACACCAAATAATTAAAAAGCCAGAAACAATTGGATATAATACAAACCCAATATGACTGGCTTTTTAAAAAACGAGGAATGGAAAAAAATGTCTGAATTTGCACTGTAAATGTACCAGATACCATCTGTTCTAAATAGGCTCATTATTACAAAAATAGTAACAAGTATAAAAAATGACTGCAATTAGACAGTTATAGATTTAATATTTTACTGTAATATGTGCTATTTTTTTCTTTTTTCTTCCTTACCTTTCTGAGGTCTTTAGGATTTTTGAAGATATAATATATACTGTGTACAAAAACATACAAACTATATGAAGCATAATCATGTAATTCAACTCATTACGAGCAGTAAATGTAAAAATGTAAAAAACAGGTACCTAGATTAATTTATTTTTCTATATAAAGGACGAAACCAAAAATGTAAACATAAACAGAAAATGAGACTGGGAGATGACTAATGACTACACTTTGGTCACACTAATTTGCATGAATTAGTAGCATGGTCAGATTTTTTGTACTTTAAAACATGTTTAATTATACCCCCTTTCCTTTGGTATATGAGCTTCCATTATTTGTGGGTTTTTGCATTTGTTCGGCTTAGAAAAAATAAAATGCTGAAAAACACAGCTTGCCACAGGGAGACAGGAGTAAAACGTGTGGCTGAAATTTACTGAATAAATCCCTCAAATACAGCTACTGTACTGTATATACACAAGAAGGACAATGGTTCAGGGCCTCAGCACTTTCCACTTGCTTTTGCAGAAACAAGCAGTTTTCTTAAGCGCCTTGGAGAGATGCCACAAAACCTCTACAGCACCTTGGACAGAGGTTTCAGAACCTATCAAACATGCAATAATAAAACCTGGATATCTCCAGCTTCAACTCCTGAAGATATCCCAGTTTCAAAAGATCACTCCTTGTGCAACCAGTGATAGTTTGCATGCATTCAGGATATTCTGCCATGCACAGACACTAGAGCACAGCTTTGAATGGGTTTTCATAGAAAACCTTTCAAGAAGGACTTGATAACACAAACTGCTCAGACTTTCACAACTCCACTGAACATTCATGCTACAATTCCAGCATTCAATAATACCACCCTCAGTGCATGAAAGAGCCCACATGGAAAATAAGACCAAGGACCTGAACTTATAAACACCTGACACACGCAGGATGAAGAACCAAATTATCCCTGTATTATCCAGTGTATGCACTGGCTGCCTGTTTGATTCAGGACTTATTTCAGTCCTGCTTATCTTTTTTAAAGCTCTACATGACTGTGGACCTGCATGCCTAAAAGGCATATTCCTATTTGTGACCTAAGAGAACACAATGCAGCTATGCTAAATGTCACAAAGATGCAGAGAAAAAAAGAAATGCAAGTGGTTAAATATTTGCATTTACAGTCCCTGAACTAGAATATGATCTGCTACCATTTATGAGGGATATGTATTAAAAAGCAAGATTAAGAACACACTTACAGTATGTGTAGTTTGTATTTCTGCATGTGTCTTTTAGGGGACTGTTTTATTGATTTTAAAATGTGTTTTTATTTTTGAGTCTCATTTTTTATATCATTTATTGATGAATAGAGAAAGGCAGTTGGAACATTTGAATTTATGTTGGCACAAGACTATGGATCACAATACGGAGGTATTAAAATCTTTATATATAATTGTAGCAGATGAATTATAAGGATAAATAAAGAAGCATTCAACTAGACTAATAAAAAGTTCACATTTGCCAAAACAGTTGGCGAATTTAACTTCTTGCAGCTCTTAAGATTATTCAGCTTATATTTCTAAATCATTATTAAAGATGTAAAAGAGGTCTCTGATCTATAACTAGTCAAAACTGAATATACTGTAACTCTATTTATGTTATATTACATAGAACTAGGATATAGCTGGTAAATTTATACATAAATGTAATAAGATTTTGAACTACATTTAGAGTACTGTATCTACTTTCAACTGAAGCTTAACATTTAGGCTTTAAAGATTCTATAATGTGTGACAAACTATTCCCCTCAATTGCTTAACACAAGATAAAATGCACCAGTATGACATCAGATATGTCATACTGTACAGATACAGATACAGCCACTGTAACTCATGGAAGTCTCAACACATTCATGTTGAGATTCCTTTTATTTCCACAGAGTTTTCAATTAGCTAAACCAAAAATATGCACATAGAGTGTTACTATTTTAAGGAAGCCCATAGTATGTGTATTTTAAGTAACGTAAGTGGTTAAAAATTAAGAGCTCATAAACTAAATATGTGCTCTTTCCTGTAACTTCTATTAATTCTACTTGAGTAGGAAACTTGAGTTTTTTAGATGTGCAAAATGAAAATGTTAGGAAGCAAAAAAACAATATAAATGATCAGGAGAAATGAATAATAGGACATTTAAGCAATACAGTGGCTATCAGAAATATGAACCCCCTCGGACTTTTTCACAATTTATTGTGTTACAGTATGTTATGTACAAGACTGTTATGTTTTATGTACATAACCTTCATTTCTTTAAGTAATTATAGACTTTCTTCTTTCCTTGCTTGCTGAGCAAATTTTGCCATGTTCATTCGGGAATTAAAAACGTTTGCCCATGCTCCCTATATTTATAGTAATCGTGGACCCTCACCTGCTTACCAATAACTGGTGACAGAAGGTAAATGAGGTAACAAGCTAGTTACCTGTGAGAACAAAGAATTTCAAACTTATTTTAGTGTTCTAACACCATGTTATACACATTTTTAACTAACCTGGGCGTCAGACTAAAATCTGCTTGCTTTGGGTGTTCATTTTATTAAAAAAGAAAAATTAACATTTTCAATGCAGTTCACTTACTGTATGTTTATAAGAACAAATATAATGTAATTAAATATTAAGTGTTTATAGTCATGTTTATACAGTTTAAACAACAGATATCATGAAAAACCTGGTTTCAAGCAGGTGTACTCAAACTTTTGACTGGTACTGTATATAAGGCATTGACAAAGTTAACTTGCAAGTGTACCGTGCAAACTCAGTATTGTGAAGCATTGATGTTTGGTATATATGCAAACAGTATGTTGTGAACACATTCTCCTGAGCACCAACAGTACACACAAGAGGATGCTAGATCTATTACATCTTGTGTGTCAATGACTTGTATGTATGGAGAAACCAACTGTCATTGTAGGTGGCAATGGGTTCTACACAGTCTCACTGGCACTGTATGCGAACAAAATTCTTACATTTTTGGTTTGTTACCTACTCGACAATTTTTTTACCTGCTCTTATTTAAGCATTGATTTTAGACACATTAGGCCTGAAGATGCCTCCCAGTGTAATCTACTCACCATCAAACTCTGCTGGACCAACACCCACAATGATAATGGACATTGGCAGACTTGATGCCTGCAATGAATCAAACAAAACTGATGAGGAGATAAAAACATTATTACCTTTGTATCACAAATTACAAGGATTTCCACTAGAATTAAGTGTTATTATATCCCTATTATTATAGGGATGTTAAAGGATATTCAACTAGATTTTAACTAAAACTTACAGGCAAAACGTTTCATAAACCTGTTCCTCAAATTCCCATTATACAAGGCAAAACAATAATGAAATGTTATCTCAAGAAACATCCAGAATGTTAAGATTGTATATTGTTTTCTATAGACACTATCTAAATTCATTTGTTATTCATTTGAGCCCACAACTGCCAACTGCACTTTGTGAGATATAGAGCTCTAAAGAATAAATCAGACATTTTGTCACCTTTAATCTGATAGTGCATTTAACATTAACAAGTCAACCAGTCACTCAAAACTAAAAAAGCACTGGAGATAATTTCCTTTCAGCAGTAATCATTGAAATCAATAGTCACACCTCCACAATGTGCACCACTGTTAACCATAATTGCTAACAGCAATGAGAAACCTAATTGAAAATGTGAAAATAATTGTGTAACACAGTTTAAACAAATCCAGTGATAGAGCCCCCTGAGAGTACTGTCAAAACTAACATACCTAGCAGAAATAATTCAATGTGCAAAATAAAATACCTTTATTGTCTATGTAAACTTGGGACTCTGATTAATTACCCTGTGACATTTTACTGACCTAATGTGATTTATCTTTCAGACCTGTGACTACAAAAAGCACAGACTATATTATTCATAATATAATTAAAATGCAGCAGCTGGTATCACTTTCTGTTTAGCAGAGATTAGACTCTGGGCCATTCCTGATCTGCTAAATGCTGAACTTCCATTGGAACATAAATGGCTAAAACCCTTTTTTTGGCAAGAAAAGCTGGCAATACATTTCAGTCACCATTAGGATTTTTTATCCTGTTTAATTTCTCACCTGAGAAGTTTTTATGCTTTTGTCTGATCTTTTAGTATTTACAGTGAGTAACATTTAACATTGTTGTTTCACAAGTTTTATTTTTCATTATTTAAGGGTCTACTGTATTTAAATGTGGCGTATAATTATTAATTCTGAACTTCTAAATTTATGATTGATTAATACATCATTTGTTGCCAATTTTCTTTTCCTTATTTTGAACTAGAACTATTTCACATGCAACACGCCAAGAGTCCCAATATGCTGAGCTTCATTACCTATTTGGAGCCGTAGTTAAACGAATAAATTGCTTGATAAGAACATTGGCAAGATTTTTTTTACTTGCAGGTTTGAACATTTATTGTACTTATGGAGTGCAATAATTAAAGGTTGGTCTTCTATTATTAGAAGAGACTGCTGCACTTTTATTCCACTAAGACCTTTGGTTTCCAGTCGTGGTCCTGGTGACCCACATGCCTGTTAGTCTCTGCTCCAGCCGAGCCCTCTGTTACAGAGTCAAACCTAATAATAATAATATTAATTTGAATTTTTTGTTCCCCAAAACGTGTGACTAGGAACAAAATACAAAAAAACAGCAGGTGTGTACTGTAGGTACCCAGAATCAAAACATGAAACCACTGACCTAGACTTACTACAGGTCAGATTCATTGACCTTGCTTGATCAGCCACCTCAATTTTGACTGAAAACCATGCTGGTCCGATCATTTTAATTAACCATCTGATTTACCATCTGATTTACTGCGAGAATCTCGCAGGTCTAACTGGAGGATGGTGTTTTACAAATGTTAAAGGAATTATGAGTAATATTAAAGTCGTCTTCATATTCTCCTCTTGGCAAGGAAGGCACGTGCTCTCTTGTGCAGTTAACCTTTTTCACGCAGCTAGACAAATACAGTAGCTCAGCATAAAACGGAAATCCAAATCTCCCAACTTACGTTAACAATAGCTTCCTTCGTCTGGACCATGTCAGAGATTACACCATCGGTGATTATCAAAAGAACAAAATACTGGGAGCCATCTGTTATATCAGCAGCTGACCTGCAACAGGTGACAACAACACAATGATATAAAAACGTATCGCCAAAGACTATTTTAAGTTTTTATCCAAATGCTGAAGGTTGAAAGATAAATCTGAAATTGAACAATTTCCATGTTTTTTTTTTCTTTTCTTCATAATTAGGATTAGTCCTTCTCACTTATTTTCCTTTGACCTACCCACCTGTTGCTTCATCTTTGGAATAAAAAACTTCTTACGTTTAAACTACATTCAATTTCCATCTCTCCTGCTGTGAAATTTAAATGTGCTCTTTATTGACAAAGATAAAGATTTAAAGAAAAAGAATATCCAATTGCTGTTTAATATAAATCTTACAAACCTGTTCATGTGATTACCAAGTTTCACCACCTCTCCCTTATATTCTGTTATTTCACGAATGTGTTTTTATTGGCTCAACACAAGCCAGTAAGGTGGACAAATATAATGTTTCATGACCCAAACATTGAATACGGAGAAAAACAGGCAACATTAAAGAAACATGCAAAAATTACTTTGGTTCCACTTGATACCACTATGTTTTTAAACAACAGATGTATAATAAGTCATTAGACATTGTAGCACAAGAAATGTTGTTGTGGATGAGCATTTCAATACTGTTTTCCACCTCCTTTAACAAACAGTGGCAATCATGGTGACTTGAAGTTTATATGAACTTTCTGATGAGAAACTACCACAAGGGACTGAAAAGCAGAGGTTTAAATTTATGCATCTTCAACATTATTACGAGCTACAAATAAATGCGATGGACTGCAATTCTGTCCAGGGTGTAGTCCTGGCTTGTGCCCTCAGCCTGCCAGGTTAGACTCTGTCTCACTGCAACCCTCTAAAGAGAGTTCCTGAAAATCTGTGGATGAATGTTAGTATTTTACAGATGTGCCAAGGATATATTCAGTAATTTTTGTCACAAACTGTACCACATTTTAACTGTTAACTAGTCTTGTTGTATATCTGCATTATTCTTTGCTAAATGAAGTATAATTATAGAACAACAATGGGATCTATACATTTGGAGGCTAATTTATACTGTATATACACATGCTGTAGATATTTTAACCCTCTTTCCATTTGTATGCCTTTCAACACTGTTGCCTAGTGCTTAATGATTTGTAAGCTACAGCTTTTGGTGGAGGTGTGTTTGGTGGGGTCACAGCAGCCACAGCCATGAGTAATTGTTTAAATTACCAGTAGCAGGCCGACACAGTATGAAATAGTTGAGCAGTAACTGTAAAAAAGTGCCTTGAACAGTGCAGAGATGCCTAATTATCAAATGGGAGCGATGCAACAGGGATGTGTATTTGAGAATGTTATACTTTGCTTCTTGTATGGGAACATAAGAAAGGTTACAAACAGAAAGAGTACATTTAGACCATCTAGCTTGTTTGATGGTAGCTAAGTGATCCAAGAGTCTCATCCAGCCATTCCTTGAAAGTGGTCAGGGTAATGGGTTCAGCCTACAGTACATGGCTGAGCTGCTTGTTCTATACTACCAAAACTATCTGAGTAAAGGAGTGTCTTTAGTTCTTGGTTTTCTATGTTGTTTCCATTTCTATCCTCTGGCATGCTTTGTTGCCTTCAGAAATGGGATTTGAGTGTCAACACTTTAACGCAATCATCTGTGATACTTCAAGCTGCCGATCAATGCACAATGACCCATTCTGACCTCCCACCATCTCTTATCACCCATCCCCGCTCTTCTCCTGAGTTAAGACTCTTGTTACTCCTTACCTGTTGCTTTACTAATAGACTAGGTGTGCCAGCAGTGAAGGAAATTAGCTAATTACATTTAAATACTCTGCCTGACACTTACCAACAGGCTCACAGTACTGTACTGTAGGTTATTCCATGTAGGTTCCTTAAGCTCCTTCCTTTGAAATGATAAGTATAATAGAGGCCTGAGATTTCTAAATCAATAAATATGATCCCTAGAGGACACAGATGCAACTGTATATGCAGTACATTCTTAGAATCTGCACTTTCAGCTTTTTTATAATTCTGAAAGCAGCCCTTTTCCACCAGGAATGGAAATCGTGCCCCTAAAGTTCAATTTCATTGTTCCCTAAAAGGGATTGATTCTAATGACTGCGTTAAAGTGTGTTAGTTCACTTTTTAATATTAAAGCTACAGTAACAAAATGTGTTATTCATTTACTACAAAATGGTAATTACTGAATTACTGAAATTATAACTTCATTTTAAACCTTTTCACTCAACTATATTTTACAGTTGTGGGGATACTGTATTTCTGTAGCTTGTAGTCTATTTTTTTGTGAAGAAGTTTATTCAATTTAGCTAATCTAACAGAACAAATTAGAAAAAAAGTAATGTAGTTAATGTTATTCCCATCAGCAATGCATCAACAAAGCTAGTCTATTCATGATCCAATATTTAGTAACATTTCTTAAATATATTACCTTTTGTTGATTATACTATTGTGAGAGATAGGACTTAACAATGAACAGATTTAGGGTCTGTAAGGCTAGTGTGTAACTTAGTTGCAAACCTGTGTGTGTCCAGAATCATTAAAACAAAAACAACTTGGCAAAATAAAAAGCATGTAGTAAGCATATTTTGCATTCGAAAAACATATATTTTTCACAATGAACATAAGACCTTCACATAATAATATTTCTACATCTTATAAGAATTCAACCTGCTTGCTGAGTCCTCACAAATTTGATACTGTCATTTGAAGCACAGCTATTAAACTTCCAGTCCAGTGTGTGTCTGACCCATTTTTGAACAGTAATCTTTAAAAATTAAATAATCCACCTTTCCTCACCCACATATTTTCTAATTAGTGTTCAGAGGCATAACAACCTGTCTGTTTCTAGTTTTTTACATCTGATTGTGTATGAAAACTCCTCATAATCAAGTCCTCCATTCAATGCTCTAAAAAGATATTTCTGCTTTTCATAATGACCCAAAAGCTAATCAAATATTTCAATAATTAAACTAATTTTACACTTATTAAAATATAAAGCCTTTCTCTCATTTTCTTGAGTGTTAAATTAATATCTTCATGAACATTGCCAATCTATCATTTCAGATTTCTTCTACTATGATTTGGTAATTAGGTTGTTATAAAAAATTGTTTCTATTAAAAAAATGTTTAGATGACAGTGTTGTTTTCTTTCACAAGAGCTGTACTAATAATCTTTTAAAAAACACCAGGTTATCACAAATTAACATTCCAGACCAACGTAGCTGTAATTCTCCAAAGCTTTCATTAAGAGCCTTGAAGCACCAAAAAAACAGAATAATCCAGTTAAATAATACAGACAGATACACACTGTTCCTCGTTATCCTAATATAGTAATATAGAACACATTACATGAAACAAGCTGCAACTGCTCTTGGATGAAAGTTCAAGGAATAGTTTTATATAATCTTTTCATGTGGCATTTTCATTTAACGTATAGAGGCTTTTCAAAACTCTTTATATAACAGGAGGAAGCCTTCAGCATAAAAAGCTCAGGGAAAAATGCTTATTTTCTAAGAAACTGGCGAAGGAACAGTAGGGAGTGTGAAACACAAATAAACCTTTGGGTATTACAGCTGACTGAAAACTTCAGACAGGTTGTATATAGTCTTCTCTCCTTAGAGACGAGAATTTTATTTAGAAGAATATGCAAATCCTTCTTTCTTAAGCATTGAGGGGACAAATCCAATACATGTTCACATGATGTATTTTAAGTTGTTCAGGTTCTCCAATTGGTATACTGTTTCCTTCAAAGACTGTATTCAAGTTCATGTTTCATTTTTTTAAGTTCTTTTCAGATTGTACAGTTTAATGCTTTCAAAACTGATTCAGATTCTCTTATTTTTCTGGTTCATCAATGAACGAGCTCACTCAGTGTGCAGGTTGAACACTATAGTCCAGATATTGCTAGGTAACTGGGCTCAACTTGCTTTATTCTGGACTGTTCCAGCAGATGCTCACAATTGAACCCAGTGTCACAGTAGCAGAATGGGCCCGAGGCTCCTGACCTTTAGTAGACTTAGTATCTTCAGGTCATCTCATAAACCTATCACTCAAGCTTATCCCACAAATATTCCATTGGTTCCCTTTGGGTGACCATGAATGTCAATCCAGCACCAAACACTGTATGCACAAAGAAGTGACTTTTCATCTGTAGGTATGGATTAGATGGTGGTGTACAGACTTGTTCCAAGATGCTATGCACATAGTATTGGGCAGTGAAGCGAATTTGTATAACATGTCCTTATCATAACTCAGCATGAATCAAACCCTACACCATCACTCCTGTACCAAGTGATCTTATGCAACGATACAGCGATACAACAATACTTTGGAAATTCATCTCCCTAGTGTAGTGTTGATAGAGAGCTGGCCATAAGATTAAATCTCCTTTCATCTCAGAAAATCTTTCCATGTCCTGTGGCTAATTATTCAGCCATTTATTGCCTAATATTTAAGAATTTAGCCATGCTGATGGCATCACAAATCACAGTCTATCAGATGTATTCTGACCATTCTGTTACTAACTGGCTCATTTCCAGGTCCGATGACGGCATGCTCTGTGGGTCTGACCAACTAAAAATCAGTTGTGAAGATGTCAGAGGCAAATATTCCAGTCCTGCCTTAATGTATTGATACATGGTGCAGCATGAAGAGGCAAAGATTATCTCTGGTATTTTGTTATTTTATAGTTGGTCTAAGTTGAATATCACTAAAGAAAATCTTCTGTCAAATATGCTTTGATTTGGTATGGTTCTATGGTGAAAACGGGGTCAGTTTTTCTTACCTTGCAACTTGGTTGATAACTGGGGCGAAGTTGGTTGGTCCATACAACTGTACGGTTCTTAGGCTTTGAAAGTAGGCCTCAAGCACACCTTCAATTCCAACACAGTTTGGGTTTTCATTGTCTGCATTCTGAAATGAAACAGCAGAACACAACAACTGGTGATTTTCCTCATTTATCAAACCAAACTTCAACCCATTCATTCCCGTTTAAAGCTTTATTCATCCACTGCTGAAAAAATGAAATAAAATTCCATCTTTTCACCCATTGAAATCCGTTAAGTATTCAAATAATAAAAAGTTCTATGAATAATAATCAAGCAGGAAACTGTCAAAAGGCCTTTTTGCATTTATGTACAAGAATGGAAATGATGCAAAGAAATGCTCTATAATATTTTCACATGCACGTAATGGAGGTTCAATGCTTCAATATATTACGGGAAGAGAGATAAGACACAATGAATAGCTGCATCAGTCATTTTGATTCTGACAATGGCTTTAGGGACTCTAAGCTTTGTTATGCATTGTTTTTTTCAGGTCATAGTAAATCCTGGAATATATTAATTTATCTGACAATGTAAGCCTCAGTATCAGCTCTGCAAAGCAATAATGAATCAGGAATCAGAAACAGATTTAAAACACGTATAGCCTTTAAACTGGGCTCTTAGTGTTTGAGCATGTCATTGTGTAAATCAATGGATGAATGAACACATGAATTTAGATTTACTTTGTACGTGTCAGTACCATAAAAGTATAATTAGGTTCATTAACTGGGAACACAGCGATATATAAAATACTGCACCTTATTTAGAGGATTTAAGGTGCAGGATAAGGTTGACACAGAAAACAGGAGTGTAATTATAAAAGTGATGAGAACTAATCCAAGTGTCCAAAAATAACTGGTATGTTTATAGCTGCAGGACAGACAGATTAACACATTTCATTAGTGTCTGAATTATTGATTACTCCTCTACCAGAATTGGAAGGGCATTATTATGGAATGGACAGCCGTAAAGAAAACTGTCCTTTCAGTTGTTCCCATGTTGGTAGGGCTATATACAATATATATTACGAAATTGTGATTTTTCTGGTTTATTTTACATATTATTTGAAAATGCCTTATTCACCATAGTGAATGCAGAATCCCTCCTTTTTGTAATTTCAACATTACCATCTTGTTTTAAAACCAAGAGGCCAAATTATGGGCTCTTGTAATATAGCTGTATTGTTCATTACTCCTATGAAGGTAAAAAGTTTTACATTTGTTTTTTTTTTAATCAATTTTTGAAAGGTACTAAATGAGGTGGAAACAGACCACAGGTACCTTAATTGTCTCAGGTCTCTTTAAAAGGCCTGCACAAAATCTGGATGGTAATGTTGCTATCACTATTGACAGCTATTGTGCTGAATGTGGCATTTTGATGTAATGAATAATAGAAGTTAATCAAGAAATATGGCAAATTAATGCTTCATTACAACATCAAACAGTAGATGAGAATCTTTCTTTTGCATAGTTATGGTGTTTGCGGTATTTTTAACTTAACTAAGCTGGAATTCCTATGCAAACCTCCTATACTGTATATGTAATATTCCTAACATGGTAAAGTCTTTGGAGGAATCTTAAAGCACAGGACTTCAAGAATGTGACTTCATACTTGATGTTTTCTAGCAATCACAACTCGTATTTTTAAAGAGGAAAATGAGTCTGGATGTGTGAACTACTATTAATGTCAGCTACCCTCTTCTGAGGTAATGTCTTATAAAAAGTGTATAAATAATTCAACAGGCCACTACTGTTTAGGTGCTGCAATTCAGCAAAGATACAGAGTCAAGAGTTTAGGTGAACTAGGACTGCAACTGAGGTAGAGATTATCTGCTTTTATTTTGTATTTTTTTAATTTAAAGTGTTTTTTTCCTAATACAGTATATTCTAATTTGCTTTAATTCAAAGTTTCATATGCCTGGCATCAAAACATCTCATATCATCTCCAATTCTTATAAACCCTAAAATTATTTTTATTCTCATTGTAAACGTACTGTAGTTCGGTTTTCAATGAAGAACTATCACCTTCCAAAGCTCATTTTAGGTCTTGAATGGATTTCTCTGTTACTGATCACTTTGTCTGCCAATTTTCTCCAACCAGTGTGTATAGGTATGCATTCTCCCTCAAAATGCAAGATTATTCTAGGACTTGCCACTTGAGCTTCTGGACTGTATCTTCACAATTATGAAGGCAATTGCATTCAAGGAGCTTTGGAGTTCTCAACTATATTTAATAAACCAGAATTCAAGCTTCTCTTCTGCCTCTACTCTTCTGCTGTCAGTCAAAAGGAAACAAACAGTATGGTCTCCAGCTCTGATGTGCTTTACACGGTAAAAAAAGGCCAAATATTTTTTCTTCAAGTCATCAAAAAATCACCAGAATTTACTTAACATCTGTCAAATGAAACATAAACAGTATGCTCTCCAGCTCTGATGTACTGTAAGTAATATACACAGTAAAAAAAGGCCAAATAATTTTTCTTCAAGTCATCAAAAAATCACCAGAATTTACTTAACATCTGTCAAATGGCCTCTTAGTGTTTATCCTTATCACCTAATTTACACCAGCAGCATACCGACTCCACTGCTCTGTAAAAATCCAAACGCCTTTCCCTATAGACTTAACCAAGTGTCATGCCTTCCATTTAAGTATTTTTGTGCCAAGAGGCACAAGGGCTATTATGCTCAAATTGCAAGGAAAGGAAGTATGTAAAAAGGGTTAAATTCCACAATATTTGTGTGGGAGAACTCATTATAAATTGTGTTGAGATATCCCTATTTTTTAATGTCCTACAGTGGGTAGCATATGGTTATTAACTGGAGTTCTACTAGGTAAACTGTATCTCTGTATTATGTAGTTCAGTGCTACAGCTGCATAATTAGACATATTATAAATGACACTAAGCTCTAGGAACACCACAAACAGCTCTCTATCTCACATGGGCACCTTTTGGGTGTCTTGCCACTCCTAATATAAGTCAAAACATTAAAAGCTGTTGAATACAATTTTTTATGGCAAAGATGAGGATTAAAATGGGCAAATATGCTTCATCTTACTCAATGGCACATATTCATCTTTCACCTATTGAAGAAAATAACAAGAAGTGACAGCCTTTATACATTTTTTGGTGATGTACATTCTACATTTTGCAAAGGAGTTACACACTCCATTACTCTGGGGAAAAAACTTAACTCTTACTGAGCGTTTAAAGAGGTGTAACCAATTTATGTTTTAAATTAACCACATTTGTGTCATTCTCAAAACAAGCTGATTCTATGACTGTATCTTCAAGACAGCCTGAAGGGAAATCTGCAGTCACTGCTTCTTCACCCTTTTGTGTCTAGACACCTAACATGACAGCCATATCAATACTTTGACATGTACTTGGGGAGAATCTGGCAGTTGTGCAAAATGTCTGTACTCACTACTCACAAATAACGGAGGACAATACAAATGACAAATTAATTTTGTTACCTTGTAGTTTTTGTGGCATAGTGACTGAGGTGTTCAACCTAACAACTAATTTAAATACATCTTAAAAGGGCTGAAGTCCAAACCGAACAGGAAGGTCCAACACAGACATGACACATACTACAGTTAAACATTTATGTAAGACTGAGTTTGCAAATGAGTCATATCAGAGAGGGGGCACTAAATGCCTCTTGTTATGTTTAAAAAGTATCTGAAATAATAAACCATAATTGCATAGATAAACTTCATGAGGCTAGCTTTATGTAAATAAAAAGTTGATTGCGTGAGAAAAGTTGTTTTATATATGCAGAGGAGGAGGATCTGTGTGGTTCTTCCCGAATAATGGAATCATGACAACACAATCCAGTCTACTGTGTAGCACCATTAGTTTCAGTTTCAAAAGCACAATTTAATATTTTGAAACCTCCACCAAAGTCTTATGAATATTTCATGAAGAACACTCAACCTTAACTGGTATATCTAAAATTGGTGTGCTACTCCAAAAAAGAAATGTCATATTGCATTGGCAGAAATTACCGTATAGAGCAACATAAAGTGTGTCTTTTATACATTTTTCATACATTAAAAATACCTTTGCATGGCAAAATGTCACCTTTTGCATGCAAATAAACCTTGATATTAACAATATATTAGAGTGGAGAGCTGTGTCAGCATGCCAGTTCTAAAGGAAGCGGTGGAGATTAATTCCACGCTGAAAGCAACAAAAAAAGGAAGAAAAAACATTTCAGCTATGGATTTTCTTCAGGGGAGAGAGGAAGAAAGCACAAATATGAGCCAAAGGGTGCAGATTCCTGGAGATGTGTGGAAGGCACCTATCTCCAAATGAATGGAGAAATGAGAATTTTCTGGTTGCTGAGAATACTAATTTCTTTCTTATCACTACTGTATAGAATTCTACCTTCCACCCTTCCCTTAAAATTTCTTGTCCAGTCCACAAAATACGATGCTGAATGTTCCCAACAACCAATAATAAACAAAATGTTGTTAACTTCATTCCCATCATCACTGGTTAAATGGTATCTTCAAAGTGTGTAAATTAATCACCTTATGGTAAAAAGCTAAGGTAATATACATGTAATAGGTTTTGTTTCTACTGTATGTCATCTTAAACACAAGCAAAAGCAATGAATATCGTAATCCTTTAGGAACTAACTATGACGTTCGTAGATTTATAGTATAACTCACTACCAATCAAATGGAGAGCAACCTCTTCATGCTTGTAACCTTTTGTGCATGAAGAACCTAAAGTTTTTCCTTACCTTAATGGGCCTATGACAACTTTTAATTGGGTATTCTGCAGTGATTTAGCTTTTAACACTCATAATTTTCCATATGGAATTAGCAGTATTACTGTATGTACAGCCATACACAGAAGGACATGTGATGTAACTGGAAGCAAAGGCTCATAATGTGTTTAAGATTGGTTAGTTTAATTACCATTTCACTGAGCAGCAGTATTTTTGTTATCCAGGAAGGAGTAGCAAACAGACATCCTGTTAAGGCTCATCATTTATTTACAAACCACTGACTGTGGAGGAATCCCCTTTGTGATTCTGTCCTTTATATACGAACACAAACACATTACAGCTACAAAAAAAATCTTGGGGAAAAAAAAGAACTGATTTAGAATGTAATTTTGAAACATTTGCTATATTACAATGCTGCAGCTTATAAAATATGACTGCTGCTTAGCCCAAATCAGAAATTCCTCAAAAATAGATTTTCAGTCCTTAGAAACCACAATGCTAATTTACTGTCCTTTTGCCATGGCTGGAATAATTTTAGGAAAGGGAACCAGAAAGAAAATTTGGAAGGGGCATTTCCCCAAGGATGCTGACCACCTTGCTCATTTCATACAAATGCTTCCTTTCACAAGCTGTAAATCTGTGAGAGCCTCCGGGAGCTCCAGAACCAAGATGGCTCGGCCACAGCCTCAAGGGTCCGATGTTTCTATTGAGAAATGAGCTGAAATTCACCACTTATAGGAGGCAAAGAGCCTGTTCAGCAAATGTTCGTGAACAATGCAAACAAATAAAAGTAAAGTCACTCAGGGGGACCCAGGCTGAGTTACGAAACTTGGCTCGCTGTATAATTTAAAGATGCTCGTCTGTAAATTCCTCTAGTTGGAAGTGTTATTTTTCTTTTTCTAATTTCACAGCACCTTTCAGGTTGATTTATTACCTTGTAATGTTTTATTGTACACATTTTTCCTCAACAGTGATTTAACGTTGTCCAGTGTAGCTATACTGCAGTACAGTATGTGGACAATTATACTGTAAATCTTAAACATACAGTACAGTATATGGACAACACATGTTGCTCACACCTGAAGAAGACTCCACGGCCGAAACGTTGTGTTCTCTTTCTTCTTTTTTTCAGTATGGAATAAACCTATTACTTGTTCCTTTACATGTTGACCATTGTTGAGTATGTAGGTATTTTGTTCAGTGGAAGTAAAAGGTTTATTCCATGCTGAAAAGAGAAGAAAGAAAACACAAATGTTTCGGCCATGGAGCCTTCTTCAGGTGTGAGAAAGACAGGGCAGTAAGCAAAGGTAATGTAGCGGGAGAACAAAGGCTGGGAGGGAGGAGGAGCGAGAGGCGGGAGCAGGGGACAGACAGTGGCCAATCAGGTAGTGTGAAGTCAGGATAGGCGAAGAGAGGTATGAAATGAAACCTACAATGAATAGAGAGAATGTACTGTAGAAGAAAAGTAGTCTGTCATTGAGAGAAGGGGGAAGGTGTGATCCTAGCTGCAGGATAATTTTAGTTTCTGTAGTCTTTCTGATGTTGGAGTTACAGAAACCAGCTTTGAGAACACAGTGTGCCATTTTGTTAGTTCATTTCCTGTTAAGGCTCATCATTCTATTCAATCAAAAATGCCAAAGAAATTCTTCTTTCACATGACTGTCCAACAGAAATTTTTAATTCTGTTGCATGATTAAAAAGAGGGAATGTACATGGTGAATGAGACTTCAATTGGGAAAAGTCAAAATTTTGTGGACAACAGGCGAGACACTTCATTAAAAATAGTGATATTGCATGCAGTGTCTTGAAGCAATTAGAACGCAAAATAAACAGTCAAGTACATGACTATGAATTCAAATGGAAGTTACTGTATGATGTAACTGTATAAGCTTTGATTAGACTGCATCCACAAAACTGCATCCATATTTTCTGAAGGTACAAGAGGGATGCTGATGATTTAGAGATATGTAGAAAAGCAAAAATAGCTTTATATCTGCTTACAAGAGTGGAGTACGAAAAAAGAAAATCACTTTATAACAACAATGGCAGCAATCATTACAATCACCACCATCATGATCATCACAACTCTCCCCAGTATGTAGGACTTCATGAGGACTTCTCAAAAAACACTGTAAAATGAAAAATATCAAAACAACGATTCTTAATAAAAGTCTATTTAATCAAATAGGATGTGAAGTGAGGTTTATGCTACAAAGAAGAGCATCCAAACGAGTCTAGGTGCATCAACACAGTATTACAGATGGTCCTTCATCTTTAGGACTGACAAAAATCTTACATCAATAATGTATGGCACTAAGTCATTAAAAGCCTCATGAGCAGGAAGGTAAAGCCATCTCTCTTCCACCCAATATCATCCAAACACATCAATAGCTGCATCTCAAAACTGTGACATGAAACTGAATGTAGAATTCTGCTTACCAGAGGAAACACATGAGAGATTTTCCCATCTGGTGGCAATTTGGCTCCAAATCCATAAGCTGGGAAAAGCTTATCGCTGTCGTAATCCTGAATGATCTCTCCCACCGCCTTCAAGGCCATGGCGTACGCATTCATCTGGTATGGATTCATGTAGTGCAGGGAAGTTGGCTGAGAAGGATTTCCTCAAGGGGAAGGAAAGTGGGTTGTTGGTAACTTACTAAGCATACTTCTTATACGAAATAGAACAGGACTTCGAGATGCTGCTTTTAAAGCCACCTTGTAAAATAAAGTTTAATATTACTATCAAGAGGACATTTAACTGGTGATTAAATGTTTTAATAAACTTTTAGCTTTCCCATGATGTGATGCATTACTCCTTTTGACATCGAGCTTTCCTGTGGGCAAATTGTGAGAAACGTTCTACTGCTAAGTGCTAAGGGAATTTTGTCCATCTTGTACAAAGGTACAGTGTTTTTTCAGTGCATTTTGACCAATAAATGCCATTTTGAGGCTGCTTTAGGCCTTAATTTGTGGTAGATTACTTTAAAGGTTCTAAGACTTACCATTAGAAGCAGTGAAGTCTATTGCAACGGTGAAGTTCAGCTGAGTTCTAAGGAGAGGAAAAGCAAGATTAAAACCACAAAAGACAGAGTGAGATAAATGTTACACTTCATACATTAGTATTTTCTTCCTTTTAGGGAAAATATTTTAATTTCACATATAAATGCCCAAGTTTACAGTAATGGAGTCAAACATACCGTGTTTTAAAATCTTTCTCCGCCTTTGTCATAACTGGTACACTGATAAACGTTTTGTTTTTTATTCCTCTTACTGTGGAATGGCATTGGGATTATTTTGTGTACTGAATGAGAATTCCATATAAAATCAGACTTAGAGAACTCAAGATGACAAAAGTATCTGTGCTACTCACTCTAAATTTCTGCAAAAATAAAAGCTGCAGATTGATTCACATGTTTACTCTCAAAAGATAAGAGATAAAAGATGCTGCACAAATGAAGCATGGATAGGCCCTACAGCTTGAGTAGAAAATGGAGTTTACTTTCCAGGTTTCTCTCCATAATTAACACTCATTTTTTTCCAACTTCTATACATAATCATGAATGATAATTCCTTACACTAATATGCATCACTTTTCTGGACACTCCACACAAAGCACTTTACAGGTAATGGGGACTCCCCTCCACTGCCACCAATGTGTAGCCCCACCTGGATGATGTAACAGCAGCCATAGTGCACCAGTATGCTCACCACACACCAGCTCTCAGTGTGAAATAGAACAGAGTGATGAAGCCAGTTCATAAATAGAGATTATTAGGAGGCCATGATTGGTAAAAGCCAAGGGGAGATTTGGCCAGAAGACTTGGGTGATGTCTACTCTTTTCAAGAAATGCCCTTGGATTTTAAATGACTGCTGACAGGCAGAACCTTGGTTTTACATCCCATCTGAAGGTCGGTGCCTTTTTTATAGTATAGTGCCCCCGTCACTATACTGAGGCATCAGAACCCACACAGACCGCAGGGTGAGCGCCCCACTAACACCTCTTCCAGCAGCAGCCTCAGCTTTCCCAGGTGGTCTCCCATCCAGGTACTGACCAGGCTCACACCTGCTGAGCTTCAGTGGGTTGCCAGTTGTGCACTGCAGGGTGATATAACTGCTGGGGAACTGGGGATGTAATCCTTATCCGACATTACATTTTTCTTACCAACAGACGAGAACACAAAATGTACCACGAAAAGGATAATAAGCTGCAGCATAAAAATGTATATTATTTTAACTTTGACTAATATACTAAAATCTAATTTTAGTCTCTTTTTTCTCAGAATTGTTTCTTTAGGTTGTGTTAGAAAACTTGTAGGAAATCAATTTCCACAAATAATACAGGAGCAGTGAATGAATAAGGCTCAGGTGAGCCTATATATATAAGCCACTGAATTTCAGAGTTGAAGCTTATTAATTACTGAATAACTGAATCAATTAGCTCTCACAGTAATACACATAACAGAAAGCTAGCTAAACAGAAACACAGGCAAGCAGGTAGGCACACATGTACTGTACAGTGGGTTGATTTGGTGTGTTAAAAATACACGCTTTCTGTGTACTGCAGTTCCACTTTGTATACAGACATATTGCACAACAGCTCCGTCCTGGTCTGGTTATGTAATCTCCTCACTGCTATCATTATATCCTTAATGAATACCCCATACAACCTACATCAATATTGTGTTACAATGCAAAATAAGGTTTGTGGAATGCTGTTTTGACTAATCACTTTCCCACTTTCTTTCTAATTAGAGGAGCTAATATCTTTCTAAATGATCTGTAAGGAAGTTTCCTCATCCTTTTTTTTTCACAACCCCTTTCCTATTCCACAGCAATGGAAAATACTCCAGCCTTGCTCTGATGAGAACTGCCAGAAAGCCCAATTCATTTCACACTGCAATGTTTATATGTAATGCCATTTAAAGAGGGAACTGAGAGAGATACCGAGAGAGAAACCACTCCTGCAAATCTGTTTTGGAATGTCACATAAAAATAAACTTTTTCCAATATACAGTACTGAGGAAAATATTGCTAGTATATTTTCTTCAAAGGCAAAGAAAACTCTCTGCCGATTCGTACATAAATATGATGCTATTTATATTAATGTATTATTTTATGCAACTGTATATGGGACATACTGAGTGCTTTTTCACAGTTTAACAATTTTGGTAATACATGTGGAGTCCATAAAACGTCTATCCAGAGGGATAAGATTTGTCTCCACAATATGTAAATGCTTTCATAACATTTCTGCACAGGGAGCCCCAATAAGCAAACAATAAGTGACCTTTAGCACACAATAAAAGACCTTTGCATGGAATTGTATTATGTGCAAAAGGGACATTTATTGTTTTTATTATGAGCTTCCTTCTCTTGGGGATTTCTACATAAAAAAAGAAAATATTTTTAGAAGAGCGAATATTGCACTTTTCCACCTCTTTTATTTAAAAGTATAACTTTGGCTTTATTCTTATTAGGCATTTACAAACGTTTTGATCAAAGTTAAAATCAAAGCCTTATCATCCTGTTAATAGGATATCATTTCAAATCCTAGAAGACCAATGCAGTAGTACTCCAGGCGTGTGGTAAAATGTCACTGATTACAAAACAAAGAAACCCAAGAATGAATAAATGCCTGTAAGAGCTGTTTGTCTATGGGGTATACACTATTATCTGCAAAAGACTATGCAAACATTCTTCCCAGATAGCTGAATCCGGAACTGAATACTAAAGTTTTGCAACTGGATATGTGATTAAATTATAGATAACAATTTTCAAAGACAGGATGAATTGATAGAACTATTAGAACAGGGCTGTCTTCCCCCTCCTCACTACATTGTAAGGCAGGTGGTTCACCAAGCGACCTTTAATTCTGAGCCAAACCTCCATGGGGATACTAGTCTCTGTACCCTGCAGAATAAACTTCAAAGACAACCCAAAATATTTCACAATAAAGATACTATACGTCCGAGCAGATAGTTTTGAAAACATGCAAGAACACAACATTAAAAGGATATTTATATAACAAATCTTTAATATCCATGCAAATCCTGACTCAATGTTGAAGTTAGTAAGACCTACAGTATAGTCTGATTCCAAATGAAAGTTCGAGAAATTTAAGATTCAAGTTCATTCTAAAATAAAAATTAAAGCTGCAACAAAATAATGCATTTTCCCCCCCTGCCAATAGACAAAAAGAGTTTACATCTGGGGTCCCTTGAATGTATGCTACCAGTCTTTCTGCTACCAGTTTTGCCTTGCCCAAAAATGGGTTTTAGGCAACCTTCATCTTTTGATCATGAAAAGGGGATTCATACCCCACTTTGAAAATGTGCTTAATTTTGCTAATGTACTTTCTCCAATGCGAGCAATATGCAGGACAAGCTTGGTGTATGTCATTTCTTGTGGTAACAGCTGCATAGAATTTGTAAACACAGCTATTTTGTGGCCACTTGTGAGTACATGGCTGCATTTGGATGTTCGAACAAATATAACATCTTCACTGACTAGTTTTCTTCAGCCTTTCATGCTGATGACCACTGGTGTCCCTTCCAGCTAATAAATGACCTTTGATGCACTACTCTGAATTAAAGCTGCTGACAAACACAGGAGACAGGAAAACCCACATCATGAACAGCAGTAAAAGCATTTTCTAACTGTGCCTCGCTTCGTTTCCAGAAGCAACCATTCTGACACATCAGAAAATGCATATGCAAAACACAGTGATTGTGGCACATGTATCCCTAAAAGATAGATACTTTATTGATCCCGTGAGGGAAATTGCAGTGCAGCAGCAGCTTAACACACACAACACAGCCACTGTGTAACAAATTATATAATAAAAGTACAATACATACTGTACAATACAATACAAGAGTTACTCACAGTCCGGACACACAAAGAACAGACTACAACAGAACAGTACACAGAAAAATCATATCACACATATAAATATAAATATAGACGTAGATATAAATATAGATGTAAATGTATTGCACAGGTCCCTGGCATATATTGCACAAAAAACGGTTGTAAACGGGAAAAGAAAAAGAAAGAGAACAGATGTAGCAGTAGATGTGTAGATGCGTTCAGTCCATCTATAGTCCATCTAAGGAGCTGTTTCAGAGTTGTGTAACCTACAGGCAAAACTGCATTCATGTGCACTACAGTATAGATCTGCACAGATCTAACTGCAAGGTTCCCAGTAGTAAGTAATAATGAGAAAGTTTAACCTAATGCAATTATGATATTTTGACATTAATTTTACTTTGAAACCAGTCGAACATGGAATTGATGGTGCCAATGTGAAAAACAAATTAAATAGTGAGTTGACAATTTGACAACATTGAGCTGTTTACTTTATAAGCTCCGAATTAGCCGCACATACCCAGAGTTCTAATATTTATAGGAGGTATTATGTTTATATACGAATATGAAAGATTTTCTATAATACTAATAATGCAATCCAACAGGATAATTTACTATTACACATTGATAGCATTTGGATACCGAGGGAAACTCGTGTGAGTTTAAGGATCCATAGCATTAGAAAATAGCCCTTAATGATAATTTTCAGTCTTACCCTCCTCTGATGAAATCCACAAATGTGTATTCAGATTCCACTTTGAATGACAGCAGAGTTACCTTAATAAACAGAGGGGAAATATTCAAGTTAAAAAAGGAAGTAGTCATACCATTTCCTCCTTGTCATTATTCCATTTCGTTTGATTCTATTTAACGAAGCAAACATGGTCACAATGTTCTCTGAAATAGTAAAAGAAAATTACATTGCTTTTCACTAATTGTTTATCAGAAATTCTTTTAAAAAAATCTAATTGCTCATCAAACCATTTCTTCTTCAAACCGTTTCTTGTCTCCTATGGTAACAATAATACCTTCATGTTGTAAGAATGCACATGCCAAAAACATGTCTTTTTTAAGTACCTTGCTTGTTTGGCTTCTTATAGCTTAACAGTCCAAGAATCTAACACAGTCATTTCTCAATGGATCTAAGAGTTCTAACATCATGACTGGACTAATGTTTCAGAAACCACAGGTATGCAAGACATTCCTCCTATTTTCAAACCAAATTTCATTATGAACCTTCACTTTTAACTAATAGCACATTAAACATCACCAGCTCCTTTCTAATTCTTCTAAACAGTTTTTAACTAAAACTTCATTTTTACTTACTGTGCCTGAATTGATGTATTTTTTCTTTTTGCCTTTCTTCTTCGGATTTAGAACCTTCAGAAACACAAAGCAAAGCAGGAAAATGTTATAACCAAACCGCAACTTCAGAAAAATAAAAGATAATATGAAACTGAGAATCCGGAATGGATTAAAAAGACCATCAGTAGGATTTCACAAACTCTATGGCTCTAGTATTCTGTAGATCCATGTGTTTGTAAAGTTGTTAGGGTCTATCGTAGTTGACCAATTGATACATTAATTTACAGTTTTTGCTAATGCGCTTGTGTTGTCATTAAATTCAAAGTTATTAACGATACATTTTAATTATGAGCATAAACCAGATTTAACGTCTAACTTTCATTTAAATTAATCTTTAATTTAGTTTAGTCATCAAATGCAAGAAAAAAAAAACACTCCAGGTTCTTAAACCTCTCCCTTCTGTGTTCTTAACCATAGTTCAATTCCGAATGATGAATAACAAAGCTGAAGGAAGAGAATTTAGGTAATTATTAAGACAAATGATCTCAGTTCTAACTAGATTTTTTTTAATTCTAAAAGATAAATGGGTAGGTGTCGAACAGTGAGCAAATAGCCAATAAATATGTAAAGCCATAATTACATCTTTATAACATACACATACAAAGCGTTGTATACAGTATTTGTCATTACTGAAGCCTTGCTGAAACTGTAGAGTATCTGAGGTATGGTAGGATATAGAAAATAGCTTATGCACCATCTGTTGTGATACAGGTAAAAGGGATGGTTAAAGAATTACAAAGCCCCCACTCTGTTAATGGGTTCTTTCAGCACACTTAATAATAATAATAATAATAATAATAATAATTGCTTACACTTATATAGCGCTTTTCTGGACACTCCACTCAAAGCGCTTCTACAGGTAATGGGGACTCCCCTCCACCACCACCAATGTGCAGCCCCACCTGGATGATGCGACGGCAGCCACAGTGCACCAGAACACTCACTACACACCAGCTCTCAGTGGGGAGGAGAGCAGAGTAATGAAGCCAATTCATAGAGGAGGATTATTAGGAGGCCATGATTGGTAAGGGCCAATGGGAAATTAGGCCAGGACGCCGGGGTTACACCCCTACTCTTTACGAGAAACATCCTGGGATTTTTAATGACCACAGAGAGTCAGGACCTCGGTTTTATGTCTCATCTGAAGGACGGCGCCTGTTTTACAGTATAGTGTCCCCGTCACTATACTGGGGCATTAGGACCCACATGGACCACAGGGGGAGCAGCCCCTGCTGGCCCCACTAACACCTCTTCCAGCAGCAACCTTAGTTTTTCCCAGGAGGTCTCCTATACTGACCAGGCTCACACCTGCTGAGCTTCAATGGGTTGCCAGTTGTGAGTTGCAGGGTGATATGGCTGCTGGCACTTCAGCTCAAGTCCAATGGAAGTAGTGATGTGACGAAAATGATGGCTGGAGAGTGTTAATGCTTGCAGAATTTATTGTTCTTGCAGGGTTTGTGCTTTGTTCTGTAATGTTATTACCGCGCCACAATGATATCAGAGAGCACTGATGTCAGATCACTTGTCTCAAACCACAACTGCTTTATTATCCAGTTAAAGACCGAGTTAAAGAAATAAAAGTCCCTAATCCACTTTAAACTAATCTCACGACTCAGAGTCGAATATCTTCTTACAGTATTACAGTTTGTGTTCAAGGAGAAATACTGTACTAAGCACAGTCCTTGGACCTTAAAATTTCAAGTAACTTAAGGGGTCTTCGGGGGGGATAGAGGTCATTTGCTGCCTAGCACTGGCAGTGTTATGAGGCTCTGTTGATTTATTTACAAATTACAAGTCTCTGAATGAAATTTGCAACCTCTAATCCAAAGAGTTACCATACAGTATGCCGTTCTCAACACAGCTCTCAGACTGAAATAAAAGCTTTTGTTTGTGTCGGATCACGGTATTTCCCCACAGCTCACCTCATACACGTTGAACTGACTCTGTCCACGAGAGAGCTCCCGGTAACTGGTGGTAAATTCTCCAATGAAGTCATGACTGACATACAAGGAACAGAGACAACCAAAAGAAAAAAGAGCAGTTTGTTAGAGAATCCCTGACATACAGTACACTTGCGCAGCAAATTCTATTTTTATTTTTGTTCTATCCGGGAGAAAATATTTAAAGAAAAGTGAGACTAATTGAAGTCCTATGCACGATCACGTGTGCAAAACACAAACATTATTTATACAGTTGCTTAATTTAGCAAATTATTAGTTTAACTGATGTTCTTGTTCCAAAGTTGCACCCACAAATATTTTGGCAGTGACCTATAAAACCAGCCACATATATAGGGAGAGATTACATTAGCTTCCGATGTTCTAAAATAACAGGCTCAACTTTACCCTTACCATAGCTCTTCAAAGGCCAAGATGAACAGAAATGTTTCCTCTGTACAAGAACCATTAGCCTGATGAATGCTATGTGACTCAGATTCCTTGCAGGGACCCATTTTTTACTCAATGCTTAGAATTTCTTATTCGTTATAATATTTTCATTACAGTCGTCCCAAATCTTGAATAAACATGGCATTATCTACAAAATGCAGCCTGTTATTTTTCTCCCTTTAGCATCCTATAGCCAACAGTATCTTTTTGAGAATTCTGCAGTACTGGTACACAAAAGTAAGTCTCAGGTACTGTATTTCTAATTTATCACACTGGCTAATATGTTAACGTTTAATTGATGTTCACGTCACCACACAGGCATCACTTATTTCACTGCTGTCTTTTTACTCTGTTTTTATTGCTTTTGCAAAATAAATTCATGTAAAAATGAAGTGCATTTCCAAAGGATGCAGACTTTCCTCTCCACAAGGCATTTTTATTGCCATTTGTCTTTGAAATATTTATATGCGGGGTCTCGCTGAAATTAGTTTTTTTCACCAAAGCAGAGCCTTCAACAGATGAAGAAGAATTCACAGTGGGGATGGTAAAATGTCTCTTCCCCTTATAAAAAAAAATGCTAGAATTTCACCAAGACTGTTTGCTTCTTAGAATGGGACCTGACAGGTTGCAAACTAGTAATTGATTTTGTAAAACAGAAAAATAATTTACAGCAGAATGACTGCATAATTGAACGCTGGTCTCTGTGATTTTTATCTAGTCTCTGTGTAAAGCTAGAAGAGCTCTAGAAGAATAAAACGTATGCTGTGCAGAGGATGAAAGTAAACCTATGGCCTCTACAAATATAGTTTCATTGAGATACAGTAACAGTCTCTTTAAACCAATTTTGAATAACTGCATATTGATTAAAAAAAGCAAAAAAATAAGCTAAAATGTTCAGTAATAAAAATCTAATTTGGAATGATGTACAGTATTATACCATTTGTTAAGAGTAACTTTATGCTTTAAAAACTTCTTTATTCCTCAATTTCATGTTCTTGACCTAAGCTGCAAACCACATCCAGTACTTGTATACTGTATATTATACTGTAGAGGACTTTGAATACTGAAATAGTCATGAAGATATATTTGCTGGTTATGGAACTCATTTTGGATCTGGTATGAAAAGATAATCTAGATGACACACAAACAAAACAAAAGCATGTTGCAAAGTTTATTATTATAAGAAGCTTATTGTGAAAAAAGTTATTCCTCAGGGACCTCAAGGTGCTACAAGAACTTTTGAAGTGTAACATTTTGGACAGAATGCTAACTTGTGGGAAATTGGGGAAGGGAGGTTTGTTTCAGAGTGCAGTGTAATAAAAGGTTTGTACACACAAGTATGCCATGTGAAATCAGAGAATATGGCAGAACTGTTTGTCATGAATTAGAGTTTCTGAAGATCGGAAACTGTATCTATTGCTCTCTCACAGAAGCTGTGAAGATCCAGTAGATTGTACAAAGTCAGTTAGTACAGTGAATATTTTTGCACATTGTGTACATTTTTGCATTGCAATTTATTTAAAAACCCGGGAAACAAATTAGTTAAAACTATTCTATGTTCAAGATACTGCAGATTTCCAGTAGATTTCCAGTTCAGAATACTGTAGATTGCCAATGACTCAGTTTACAACCATCAAATAATGTAACATATACAGTACATATTTGAAATATCAATGTTAAATCTTTTTTTTTTTCATTTGAAGGAATAACATCTTCTTGTAATCACTTGAGAATTCTGTAACACACAACAAATTGTAATGGCCTTATAAGGCATACAAAAAGTAATTTACTCTATAGGTAGCAATACAGCTACAGCAATTGATTCCACAAAACTACTATAGAAGTCTATCTGATTTATAAAATGATAGATTATGCACATGGGGAAAGCAGCTGAATCAGTATTTTTTCTGGGGTGCATGATGCCATGAGGCAATTGAAGAATCAAAGGAAAATAAATGAAACATGGGTCAACATCTTACACCCCAGGTTCCTCAAAGCAATGAAAAAAGAAACCATGAGTCCAGGAGTCAAGAATTGCCCCCTGCCCTTTAATTGCCCCATTCACTTCTAACAGGGTTCTGAAAGGATGTTTTGAGATACTGCTTATTGTGTGTTTTCTGACAAAATGTTAAATTAAAATTTACCATCCCCTTAAAAGGCGACAGAAAACATTACCTCCCATCTCGATCCCAGTCGTAGACATCCACTTTTACTGTTCTGGAAGGAAAATAAATCAATTTAAATGTGAGAGAGGCATCTGGTAAAACCTCATTAAATAAAGCCCCTTAATTAAAAATAATCTTTATATATGTATGACTCCAGATTATAGGTAAAGAATAACCACAGTAATGGAAAAATAAATAAGGTTTACAGAACCCAGAGTACCAATTACACCTTTAATTAACTTTCCATTTTTAAAGTTAAAAATGTACACCACTACTGACTGAGTGAAACTCTTCCTCCATAAATAATTAAATCCCCCTCTACCCTTCTTTAGTTCCTGCAGTTCTCACAAACTGAATCCCAATGTCAATCTGCAGCAAATGCTGTCCTGCTGTTTTAGTGCTGATTGCGATTTCTCCCAGAAAGAAACAAAGCTTTGTGTCCCAGCTGATGATTACCCCTGATGGTTATAATGACTCACTGCTTGCTTTCTCTCTGGCTAAAGGCAAAGATTATCACATCAGTGGAACCCCCACCAGAGCTGGCCTGTATACAACGCCTTCTTAACGAAAGAAAATACACTGTAGGCTTTACGCAAGGTTATTTTTTTCTATATGATATTTCGTTCAGTGACTGCAATGCTTACAGTACACCCCTTGCTTTCAGGTTGTAGTGAAGAGTAATCCAGTAGAATAACTTTTCTTTTTTCATTATAAAAACAGAATCCATTGAATGCAGACACTCCAGAAAACTGGCTTTATATGCAAGCAGACACTAATCCATAAAAGTATACTTGTATATCTGCCAAGAAAAATTATTTAGCTAACATATTCTGTCATGATTTTATATTGCTTGAATCCTAGAAATGCACTGTATATTTAAATTTCTTGCCTTAAGATGAATCTGGTCTTCCTGGAATAATTAATAAATATCAAATTTTCCATTGTGAAAAAGTCAATCTCAGGCAGAGACAGGAAGCCTTTGTCAAGAAAACAAGATCACATTCTATATTAATTTCAATTCCAAGACTGCAGGTCCTTGCTACACAATGGAAATCAGCATGATTCTGATTATCACAGAGCATTTCATCTTGTTTCACTGTAATAATCCCTTCAATCTTTGCAAAGAAAGGTAAACTCATTCCCCCCAACCTCTTAGAACACTTGATAAATATACATTTCAAGTCAAACTACCACTCTGAGTAATATAATATACAATACCCTGAAAAGTATCCAAGCCTTAAAAAAAGATTTAGACATTATTGTACAGTGACTTTTTTATAAACTGCAATGAATACAGAAGGGCTGAAATAACTTTTCAGTAGGAGTTACAGAATTAAGAAGCTGACAATCTTGCATGAAATGCATTAAATAGTTTTAATCAGGAATGCCAAAACTCATTTAGTTTTGTATCTCTCCATTTCCTATATAGTTATTTCATTAAATGAATAAATTTGAGTCTGCTCTCAGGGTCTTAGAATTATTTAAAAAATTAAAAGTAAAAGATTAAGTACAAAAAAGGAAAAGGCTTACGTTTGTTGAAAGGAAGAAAAAGCAAGACCGAGGAAGTAATTAAGAGCTTTTGTATGAATGAGAGCATTAATAGTGTATTGCTCACAAGGGCTGGAGCATCCTGACTTAAATTATACCAGGGGTAGCTATCTTAATGTGAGGCAAACAATGGTAAGAGGATTTCCCATTATTCTGCCCATTAAACACATTTTTATCATGGCAGATAACTAACACAGAAACTCTTAAATCCTGATAAATGCAAAGTTGCATTACCTGCTTTCTGCCTCTTGTCTCATTATTTCAATGCCAATAATGAGTGAAGAGACAGCATCTTTAAACCTTTTTAACTGACAACATATCAGTGATGAAGAGTTTCTTTGCCTATTGTTTATAATTGGCAATTCATTCAATATAGGCAACTGTGGACTAAACTATCTCACAGTTAAATGCAGAGAATTATTTCCAGCAGCTACATAATACAACCTATCTGCAAAGTCCAAATTAGCATGTTTAGTGGAATAGTTCAATTTCAAAAACCACTCTTCTTACATCAGCAAATAGATTGCAAATGTATGCAAAGGCTGTAGTTGTTTAAAAGGAAGGACATTTTCTAAATTATCTTTAGCCTTGACTGTGCCTCATCTTATGAGCTATCACTGAATTACACAGTGCAATTCGGACATTCGGAAGTTCAGTGCAAAGCATTCTCAAAACTATTCAAGGCTAATACAGCATACTAACCTACACTTCTTTCTGAGAACAGCAGAAAACGTTTAACTTTTTTTTAAAGCTGCTCATTTAGAAAATGAAAACCTAGGTTAAAAGTACAGAGAGCAGTGGGTTACATCACACACCTGTTCAGAGTCTTACCTATCATAGTCTCCATTGCAGAGTGCACGCACTGGAATAGTAAATGGTTGCCACACAGGGTTCAGGGTGTTTTTGATCACCTCCGTTTTATGGCATATAGTAAAGCTGAAAAACAATTGTTGCATCATTTCCGAACATAAAAAATATGAAAAGCAATCAACAAGGGGAAACGCTTCACCCCAGCTAACCTGTGCAGTTCCAACACGAGATTATTAGCCCAGTTGTTTCTTCAAGAAAGCCAGGGTATGAGATTTAACAATGTAGCTTCTTCAAGGCTCCTGTTACTGGATAGAACTGCCTGAAATCTGAAGCGTGGTTTTCCCCACTGTTGATCACTATTTTAGACTGAAAATATTAGTTTAAAATATTTTAATCTAAAATAAAAAATATTAAATATTAAAAATATTTTTAAACAGTCTCGGTAGGTCATTCTTTTTAAAGCCAGGAATTATTTTGGTCAGTCTTCTTTAATCCCAGATAAGTAAAGACTTTCTTGCAACACAGTGACAAAAAAATGGTGAACAACATTCTAAAACATATATGCCTTGTGTAATTGTAACATAACAAGGAAGCAAACTACTGCTTTTCATAAGGAAAATAACATCAGGTCTCATTTATATTCCAAAATGGAGCATCTAACCTCTGTAAACAACACTATGAGAAATCAGCTGACCAGGGTTTGACAGTATCTTCCATGTGCCTACATCATTCAACATCTCCAATGTACACAGTACTGTACTGTATGTCATACTTAAAGCACAGATGCAAGTATACCCAAGTTACAGACCCCTGGGCTATTAAAGTACTGTAAATGCACCACATGAATAAATATAACAAAAAAACTGGGGGCAATGCAGCAATATCATGCAAGACTGCATTGTGAACATTCAGAAGTAAAGAAGAGTCCCTTCCTGATCTCAGTCCAGTAGCATATGACCATCTTGTAACCCAGGTGTTTGCTCTTGCTCTGCTGTTTCAGGTTGCCTTGAACCTTTGTTCATAATGTCATCCAAGAATTCATCTCCTTTCACCAAACTGATGATTTTTTAAGAAAAAGATTTGGGCCACGCACTAAAAACAGAGACAATTTCAAGCAACAAGCAACAGGTGATCTTCACATTTTCTACGCGATTCAAACAGTTGTTCCTTCATTATCAGATAAGGCAGCATCTTTATCTTTATTCACACTTTGATTTTCACATGGTCCTCAACATTTTATTTGAACCGTTTTTTTGGGCTGACTTGCTTACAGCATTTCATGTACAGATTGCTATCATAAAGCAAACACGGCACCCCAGAAGCCTTATTTTGATTGAACCAGGGCCTTAGTGATTGTTTTTCTGTTTCTTTTAATTTGTTTAACAAATGCCCCAGGGTCATGGAGAAAAAGAGTCTGATAAGAAGCCTACTTGGTACAAGTAAAAATGAAAATCCAAACCCGGACCAAAAATCATATGTGACTGCAGTGTTTCAATAAATCAACGCTACTCACTTATTTCTCTCCTTGGGCAAACTGGTGCCTCGAGTTACTGTAGGTGCGACGTGTTTCTGACTTACGTGCCATCCTCATTGCTTCGATAGAAGACAAGGAAAGGATCCGATTTGCCAAAGAAATCCTTCTTATCCAGCTTATTGGCACAGAGCTGCATGGTGGCAATGTCCTAAAAAAAGAAAGATGTAAAGGAAAAAAAAGACATGATGGGGAAAAAAGTCTGATGGAAGAACATGCCTTGATCAGGGACTAACTTGAGCTCTCCTTACTATATAAATACCCCCAATACAGTCACAAAATCATCAGGAATCGCTATTCTCATTTTCTTAATTTGGCTAAGAACTTCATTTAAGGTCATGTGACTACCCCTCCCTTGTTTTAGAATTTCATTACTCAAGTTTTTTGTTTTGAGATCCTTTGCTAGTAAACCACTGTTATTTTGTAAAGTTTGTAAAGGATGCCTTGGTGACAATTTTCTGGTAGATAAAGAAATAGGGTTACATTTTTCAGGCCAGTGTTTATAGATTTTAGTTTTGGATTAATATTATTATGAAAGATGGATTCTATTTGGAGTTGTGTCTGTGTTTTCACTGCACTAATTAAAGATGTGTCAGCTGTAGTTCTGGTTTAAATTTTAATTGATAGTTTGAGGTCATTGGGAGATACTGCTGCTGATAAGGACAATACTAACTGTATGTGCACTGCTGGTCTAGAAAAAATATAGATAAGTAAAAAAAAACACTAAACCTTTTGAGAGGTATGGGGATAATGTGAAAGGCTTACTGCAGGTCTAATTTAAGAAGAACGCTTTCCCTAACCTGGTGCTCATTAAGACAGAAATCCTTTGAGATTAGTATTGACATTAAGATCAGATTAATATTACTATAAAAGTCCTCCAGAGCTAGAGAGCTGGTTCTGTTTTCAATGGATTAATTTGATTTTTTTTTTATCTGTAGTTCAGAATAAAATTTATACATTTATACTATACTTTTGAGGTCAAATAGAGAACTTGATACTGTGCACAAAACTTACTGTACAGTATGTTTACCGCAAAGTAAGATCAAAATCTACTTTAAAGAATTGGGACTAGTGTAAACAAAATGTTGGAGGTCTAATTTACGACAAAAGCCAACTTTAAATCAGGGTTTAATAAAATAAATATTTCAAGCTTAAGATTGGCATTAGGATCAAAATAATATTACAATAAATGTTTGATGCCATTTGGAATAGTAGTTGTGTTTTCAGAGTTAAATAATTATGTTTCTGCTGTAGTCTGGGCTTACATTTTATTTACACATTTCAGCTGGAGTTCAAATTGTTACTTTTGAGGTGAATCTGGATGATGTTCTGTTTTGTTGACGGGCAATAATTACAACATGTTTATGAAAAAATGAAAACTATATGCAATGTTGGTCTAGTAAGAAAAATGGTGAGATCCAAGTAAGCAAGCATTAAACCTTCTGGGCTTGGAAGTAATTTTTTCACAGTTCTAATTTAAGAAGAAAGCTAAGCCTTACTTGAAGCTTATAAAGAATGTTTCATTTATAGTTCCAAGGTTCAGTTCAAATTTGTACTTTCAAAGTTAATTACAGTAATTGCTATTAATAGGCAGAATACTAACTGTATCTTATATTGTTCCTGAAAGAAATCTGAAGACAGCAGTATAAACTTTTTTTAAAAGGCTTGTGAATAATATGAAAACAAAACAGTATAATCAGTACCTAAATTAAGAATATATCTGGTTAGCTAATTCTGACCTTTGGGACACATTGTTTGAAGTTATGTCTACCTCATTCAGTTTTAATGATAAAAAAAACTACTTTAACCTCTAGCTCTAAAATGTGTTTACTGTACAGTTTTCTAAAAGCAAGTCTAACAAGGCATTCATTATGCAGAACTTTCACCCTGCATATTAAATTCCCTCAAGAGCCTATTAGACAGTAATTCTTTTGTATATTATTCATTTCTGCATTAGTTGTCATAAAAATGGAGAAACACTGCATATACTCGAACTATAAATGTATGCTTCTGCTATATGTATACTACAAGTGTTATGTTAACTAAGATTAAGAACAATGTTTTAAAAGGCAGGCAAAACAACACAAAAACATACCTGATATTCAATTAATCTTAAGTCAATTATACAGAGGGGCTACAAAAATTACAGGGGCTACAAGAGCTACAACAATACTGCTGCTAACTACTGTACATAAAGTTTCTCATATTCAAAAATGTACTGGTTTGCTTCAGAATTTCCATCTCCAACCAAGAGTTACAGTATACTGTATCAATACAGTATATATAATACAGTAAATCAACACAGTGCTGTTTCATAAAAATCCACAGCTTCTCGTCTATAAATATTATAATGTGCAGAGGTTTTGGTACTTGAAACTATAGTATTGATACAGTATATAGAGCAATGTGAATCTTCAAGTTCTTATGAACACAGTTGTTTATTGTAAGCTTGACAAAATGATAAATGAGAAATGCCAACATAATATTGCTCAATATGTTTTTTAGACCTCTCCATAATAAAATAGCCTGATATTAAAATACACTGAATATTCTTGAAAAGAAGGTGGATATCAGAGTGGTTTCCAATAATATTTCACTTAATGTTATTTGTACGCCAAATCCTTGAGTGCTAACAATCTTTTTACAAGAGTTTTTAAACTATAGTACATCAATATATATATATAGTATCTGTCCTCACTCTTGATCGAACACAAGTATTTTCAGACTGCATGATGAGCTATACAATAAAATCAGTGATTTTATTTATTTTCTTTAAAGATCATTTAAATGGGCTTTTGCGAAGGATTGACGTTTGATGCTTTCCTATGAAATATTCCATGTTTTTCTGCAATCCCCCCCTTGGTACAAGTTTGATTTCTAGAGCAGGCAGTGCTCACGATCCTAGGAAAGTGCAATTCCACATGGATACAGCATTGGATGCACAATTATGTCTGTGCTTACCTGGAAACAAACAGATTTTATATGCAGCACAACAGCCTATCTTCATGGTTTGTTTGCGGCCTTTGGCATGGCGATCACAGCCCTGGGCCTGCTTTGATCAAAAGCTGTCAGCTATGCCAAATGTTGCTATGCCTCTCCTGACAGACCAAGGCAGGGGGAATGCGATTGCACTGCCAGACTGTCAGATCCACTGGGTTGGAAACAGTTTTGCTTATTTAGGGACTAAACCCTCATATAAAACCAGAAATAAATATATTTCCTTTTGAAATAAACAAGGATGGCAACTCAAAATCCACCCTCTAGAAAGTGCTTCCTCTTCAGAAACATTCCTCAAGTCTATTTGTCTCCATCATAGCTCTTCATACCTCTTGACCCCACCACAATGCTTGCATTAGTTTTCAAACAACATTAATGCACATCTCATGAATTACAATATTTAACTGCTTTCCATTGAAATGATTGCTTGACAACATTAAGACACACTGTATACAGTACAGCGATTTCGTTTATTTTTCTACATACTGTATTGTGTGCTTGTTTCCTTCTTGTTGCTTTCCACGCAGTAACATTAGGCTTAAATAATTGTGAAGCACTTTGTCTCGAATAATAATCATTCTCTCCTCCCTTTGTGTGCAGTGAACTGAGGTCAAGGGTCAAAACATGTTATTTTCTTGAACAGTTCTCACGTATTTGTAGATATTATAGCAACACTCTCCATCCATTTAACATGGTATAATGACAAACAAAACGCATTCAACATTTTTAATTTGTGGTTCACTTTAGTTTTCTCCTCCCTGGTGTTTTTAAATGTTATTCAAAACATCCAAAAGTCTATGTTTAGCCAATATTCAGGTGCAGAAATGTCAAAGCTTGTTATGATGTGGGCCATGTTGGTATCTTAGCAACATGCTTACTCCAAGGGCTAGTTAAATTTGCTTTATCTTTCTTACTGTACATGTTCAGGCTGTACCACTAATTCACATCTGAAATATATTTCTGTGAACCCCAAATCTTTTCAAATTGAACCACACTGAGATAATTAATTCATTTTAAGTATTCGGTTTAACTTGTGTAAAGATCTAGAAACGTTAAATATGAAATACGAAATCGCTGCTTGCCGAGATAGGCTTTCGCTCCCTTGTGACTCGGAACTGGATAGAGTGGTTAGGAAATGGATGCAAGAAACTAATCACTGCGTTTCACTGGTGAAGTCTGTTGGAATGTGAACTCTTACAGTGTGTTATCCTTAAGGTGTGTTTTTGCATTTCCATCTATTTTTATGTGAGGTTTTAAATACTAGTCACTTTGACCAAACTTCTGACGTGATTTCTTGTTCATCTGCTATTCTGTACCCCACATGTAAATCACATCTGAAACAAGCAGAAAGCCTGCAAAAAGGCCTTTTATAAATTCTATTTACTTCTGGCATGGCAGGTAATAACTACCGCTATTCACAGTATGCAATAGACTGTATATATGTTTTTTTAAGTGTAATACTGAAAGCAGTGTGGACCGTTAATTACAAGTAGCTCATTAAACATGAAAAATACCATGATGGACATACATTAGTTTTCTAGCAAAACAAGTTTGGTGGATGACAGCCTGCCTATATTAAGACTAATAGATATAAATTGGAAGGCTAAGTCTCTCAGAGAGAATTAAGTGATCTTTGCGTGCTGAACACAGAACTATAGCAAAACACTTTGAAAGTCATTCAGATCGATTATGAATAGGAAAAGGACATTTCCACTAAGGTTGTCTCAAGGCCTCTCCTTCAAAACGTGGCATTTTGAAGAATTACAATGGACAGACAGCAGCTCCAATTAAATTGAAATGAAAATGATGAATAAAATGGCAGAGCACTGGGATGTTATTATACTTTACAAAGACCAAAATCATTTCTGTCCATTGCTGATTGAAAAAATGTTAGTTTGACCAGAAGCTAACAATAGCCCGGGATCAGTATATGTTTAAACCATTTTCTTGTCTATAACAGGAAAAACTGCAGTTTCTCCTTCCGTAATACTCGATTTTGTAAAGTAAAAGATTACACTATGTGTTAACAGATTTCTTTTGTTTTGGACAGCAAGTTCAAACCACAAGACTTTTGGAAGTGGCTGACAGATTTAAGGGCTGTGAAAGACCTACTAGTAGTTGTATAAAGGCTTTCGATTTGCTGTAGACCCACTCCTCACTTTTGACAAAGTCTTTATGTAACACGATATTTATGGAAGTCAGGAGCGTCCCCTTCTTAGCAGTTGCGAGAGCTCATACATAGAATTACAGTACATACATAGATAACATAACATTGTTATTGACATAAATAAACACATTTTGCTTAATGAATAAATAACTTTGAAGCCAGTAATTAGAATTATTAAACACCAAACTGTATGTACAGTAGCATATTGGAACAATTGGAAAAGAGACTGAGGATGTCACCAGTGTGTGAAAACCAAGCAAGATTGAGGCTAAAATTCAACAGTGGAGGTGGTGACTACATTACGTTCACTCCGCACTACACATCTGCGGAAGGAATAACTGCACTCTTTTAGTATATAACAAACTGTCCATAACAGATGTTGAATCTTATGTAACCCTGGGAGGGGTGTATTATGAAAATGGCAAGGGAGGAATTTGGGGGAGATGATAAGGAGTGGCCTCCTTCACCCCCCAAAGTACTATGGGGGATCACCAAATGGTAACAGGGATTAATGGAAATTGTGCCCCAACTCCTCAAACATTTTGGGGACCCACCCCTTCTCTCCAAATGTGCAAATTAGCGCAGCTGTGTAGAAATCTGGCTCTGGGCTGGGGTCAAGTGGAAACCCTACCTCAAAGAACGAGTAGCAACAAAGGGAAGTAGTTATACAAATGATACCCTGGAAACTGGTGCTTTTATTATGCAATAATGTAAACTGGGTGAAATGTAAATGTATTATTTGTAGAACCGACCCAGTTAAATGCCTCATTTCATAAGACAGAATGTTTTGATTTTCATCACAGCTCGTTTTCAGAAGAGATGCCCATGGAAAAGTTTTAAAAAATGGGAAAAACAGAAAAGGAACTAAGATAAAATGAGTATTTAGTTGTCTGAGGTTTTCGTTATAAACCCATTACATCTGACATGTTTTGTTGACTGCTGACAGTGTTGCTATTCACCGTTTAATGTTTGGTGTATTTCGGTTTGCTAATTAATTCTTGCTCACATCACAAACTTTTACGGTCAAGGAAAACTGATAAATGTTCCCATCAAGAATCCCGCTAATGTTCTAAAATTGAAACACCTCCAGAAAAAACCTCACAGAAATCGCAATTACTAATTATTCATGACATACTGAGAGTGCCAATGTTGAGACAAAATGTAATGGTGGTTTATAGCAACATTGCCCATTTTCACAACATAGAATAGCAACCTTTACTCTTAATCGCTGAACCATAAATTATTCAATTCTTTATATGATGCATCAATATTTTGCATATGCATTTCCATGGATTTCAACATGAAATTATGTCAGGTGTAAATGAATGGAAACCACTAAGCTTCTGCTTTAAAGCACTTTTATTAGCATTAATCTGACCTGTGAATTCCTGAAAATCTATACTTAAATAGCTTTTGATAACAGAAAACAAAAATGTCTGCTTATTTCTGCAATGTTTTGATGGTCTGTTCCACTTCATGAACTTTATACAGTGTAAGTTTACTAAATGTTATTTCTTTGCTTTTTATGTGAATTAAACTCAAGACTCCTTATTTTGCTTAACATGTTTCTATCAGTTACTGTATGTCTAGAGATTCATAATACTGTACATCTTTCAGTACAGTATTAAGCAAAACCGTTAAATCAACAACAAATTCACCAAACAAATATGGAAAATTACTCTAGTTAAATTCAATACACATTCAAAATTTTAAAGAACAGACATTTTTATAACATCCAACCCATCTAACTTGTGATTACTGAAGTAAACATGTACCGAGGTTGTGTACTGGGCCTTAGTGGCACTGATTCTGTTACAGAAGGTGATGCAGGAGGATTCCTCTGCTGTCTAAGCAGTGGCGCCATGTGGCTCTGAAGCCGGATTTGTCCATGAGCGTGATTGAATCCTAGTGGGGGCAAAGCTGACTCATCATGGTTACACATACGGAGAGCGATTTTATTTCAAATGAAACCTACTGTAGATATTCTCGATTTCAGCAGCTAATCTTCATTTATTTCAAGTCATGCATGTCAGAGACATAATGCAGCTGTGCTACTCTCTCAGTATTATTGCTGCCATACTGATAAAATAGTGTGCAGGTGTAGACAAATCTTAGTCCACATCCAGCAAAAACTAATGATAGAGAGCACCACCCTAGCATTGCACAGATTGCTAAAAATGTAGGACATGTAGAGAACAGTCGGGATTTGACTGAATATTTTAGTTATAGTAGGTAAATAGACAAGGTCATGTTTTTTATGCCCATGGTCACTTAATGATCTGGCTGTCACTGGACACAACCAGCTGGTGCATGTCTATGTAACTAATTTCTGATTGCTTGCAATGACACAGGCGCTATAGGTCTGTCAAGAGGTCCTGCTTCAGACTCTGCTCTAAAACAGCTGCATAATTACTATGTCAGTGTAAGGTCAAAGGCCTGCTCATCGTCTTGTTGTTGACTGTGGTGACCTTGTTCTCACAAGACTTCTGCAGTCTTTTTCGGAAATGTTTCTGGCATCTTGCGAACACACACACACTAACAGACACACCAGGGGTCTAGGAAAATGCCTACCATTCTTTACACAAGCACCTCTTCAGCAAAAATAGCAAAAGCCTCTTCTTTTAGACAGACTGAATGCTGACCTATCACAATGTCTGAATGCCGGATTTTTTTAAAGGTCTAATATGTTCATCCCATGCTTTAAATAGACATATGCTATTAGGCAAAATATTAGCACGAGGTACTGATGAAGAGCTCTATGATGCAAATAATGTTATCACTTTCTATACATGGGATTCACCATGATTTTTTTTTACAATCCTTTAACTTTTTTCACCTTATTTATTCAGCCAAAATGAGAACAGCTGGTCTCAAATTCTCAGAACATTTGCTTGTTTTCCCACATCTTTCCCGCTGCCAGTCCTGCCTAGAGCAATTTTCTTCAGTCTCAGCTGGTGTGACTTCTTACAGAGACCAGAAAATTATAACCATGTAGCCAATATAGATTGTTGTCCAACAAAAAGCACCCTGCTGGTTCTGAAACATACTGTAGTCTCACAAATAGAAAAATGTAGTGATAGCTTCACTTCCGCAGGAGCGCAACTCAGAAAACATTATTCTTCTAATTATTAGAAAAATAGCAAAATGCAATTGGCTTCTTTATATGCAATACGTAACCATGAACAATAAAGGCAGGAGATGTGGTTTGAATGTTGTTTTTTTCTATTGACACTGTAATTTATTTTCACTTGTACCTTGCCCGGAAAAAAACATTCTTAGAATCAAACTAAAGAGAGCCATTGAGTGTTCCAAATGTCTGTAAACATTTTTTTTTATCTATCAATATTTTGGCACCAGTTAACTAAAATAATTTCTCATTGGGTGAAAGTGAAAGTGCTTATTTGTACTAAGACAGTTATATAAACAGCATAAAGCATAATATTGTTATAATGCTAGAACAGTGCATTTTGGAAACTGTTTTGCTGGTTGGCTACACCACACTTTTTATCTGGGATTTGGCTGATGATGAAGATGAAACAAAACGAAATCTCAGCTTATTTTGTTTTTTTGCGCGACATACCGTATAGCATAGCCAGATAATTCTAAAGAACCGTAAAAGGGCAGTTATTGGTCTCTATAGTAGGTCATTTGCAACTGCTATAGAAATGACAGATATGTTTTTTTCCATACCATTATGGTTTGATAAATGGCATCTCTTTAGCAGGTTCCAGTACAGACAGGCAGCCTTAAAAGACACTCTTTTGCAAGCTAGTACTGTATACTGTAATGAAAATGGATTTGATGCACTTACAACACATGTTTAAGTATTTTTTAGGATGAAAACAATGAAGAGGAGGAACAGATGGTTTACTGTATCCCAGATTCTTGCCCCTTAATGTCGTTTTTAAGTATTCCAGTTAGAAATTATTAATTACACACAAGGAAATAAAGAGACAAGTTTCAGACACATTTCAAGTTTTGTACAATACCGTGCTTCAGGTGTTTGTTCACAGAGGCACAAGGCAGAGAAAGTATTGGTACTGACCCGACAGTTGCTCAGTTCCTCTGCTGACAAAATAATGGTCCCACATTTCTTCCCTGGAATTCCACTGTGGATAAAAAAGTCCAGCATTAGGGGAGGAGAGTGCTATTTATCAAAACAGATGCACAGTTGTCTGTTATAGAAACCCAGGCTATATGACAGATTCAGGCCTGGGGCTTGAGAGGAAGTCTGCAAGCTGCACAGGCAATTACAGAGTTTCAGACTCTCCAAACTACCTGGTCCAAATCAACATTTTCACACCTTGTTAACAAAAAGATGACAAGGTGGGATGAAGTCTAGACTCTGCAGAAATCTGAACTTTATTTCCCTGCCTTCAGCCTTCATTGGCAATGCAAAAGACAGTATGTGTACTCTGTAATACTTCTATCCCCTGTCTTACGTAAAAGCACAAAACTTTTGAGTTGGTGGCTGCTGGCTTCCCGATTTTGCTTTACCCCTTATGTGATATGATATTTGTAGATGACCTATTTGAAGACATTAACACAATCTGGTGAAAGTCTTCAAACGCTCTGCATTCCCATAGTGAATTATCGACTGCTAACATCTGTTTGATGATACTTATGGTAGTAATTATCAGATAACTCAACCTGATTAGATAATAAAGAAGATACTATTTTTTACAAACACATAATATCACAGTTGCACAGACAACACCAATAGATTAACCACTAATATGTGTACTATTAATAAAACGGCCATTTGATATACAGTAATTTAACCTGCATTGTAATAAACTTTCAGAAAAGCATAATTGTGATAAAAAGAATGCTGCAATAAAACAAAATTCAAGAACATTGTTTTCAAAGCTGCAATAATTTATTAACTGTATGATTGTCATTATATGGCTTCCATTTGTGTACATATACTATAAATAACTGGGCTTCACATCTTAGGTCTTCCTTTAATTAATATTAATGTATCTCTGGTACTTTTGCCATGAACATCTATGCTATGACAGACATGCAACTTCTGAAAAAAACGTTTCTAATATTTATACTGGTGTTTTCTCCATCAAAACTCACAAGAGCTTTTAAACAACAAAACTAAACAATCACAGGGCATAATCTCTTTGGAAATAAAGATGATGAGCTATGGAAATTTAAATTTATCAGCAGTGTTTTTCTTCTACAACACGATTCCCACAAACAGTACCACCATACCTCGGATGCTTTAGACCCACCTACCTTTGCAAAGGAACACTCCAAATTTGAAATTTATGCTGCTTGTTGGGTATCAACAGCCTCTTTAAAACACCCTAATGACCCTTTTGTTTTCTGACAACCCAGGCAAAGCTTTCTTGTTAAAGCACTGATTCACAATATAATGATTTTTCCAAGGGCGTCCTTCAGACAGGACCCACAAGCGGCCATCATACAGACATGAGTCATGAGATAAGTAAACTACTGAGACGTGCAATTTAAAACCCAATTAGGTGTGAAGAAGATCTTTTTTAAATAATGCAGGTTTACATGAACATGAGCACTTCGGATGCAGCCAAACACTCTAACAAATCAGAAACTTGTACATCCCCTTCCCTTTCGAAAAACTATCATCCATGGACATTGTGCACCTGAGCTGATTGTGGGAACAACAGTTGAGTGCAATGCTGGAATGAGTTACGATGAACTTAACATCTATACCCTGCTTAGATATTTACCAAGCTGTCTTTCCTTTTCAATCTTTGTTTATGCAACAGAGACCGTAAAGGTGAAAATTCCTCAATAGATTTATGGTGGCTGGATCTTTCAAAGCTCAAGTAAGAAGGTCCTGATCACCCAAAGAGCCTGATGTTGTGTGTATTCAGTGAGGAGATCATATTAATCTAGTTATCAAATAAGGTCAGAGTATGGCCACTGTTTATTAATTAAAAATAGTGTATTGAATACAATGACAAGATAATCGGTTACAATAGGGCAGGGTGTTCTTTTTATTTCCTTGGTCATTTAAAGAACATGTCAAGATCATATTCATGTTGGTGCATACTGTAAATCACACAAGACTTTGCAAACATCACACACAGCAGGTCTTAAAGTGATTTGAAAATTATGCATCTGGGCTAATGCTACCTGTTGTTTTCGTTCTCTCTGTTGCAAAATAACAGATCTCAAAACAAATTGATCACCATGAAGAACGTTTTCAGATATTCTTGGGCCAACAGATGCTACCCCCACTCCCTATGGAAGTTAACAAAACATTTCAATAGATGTAACTAAAACTCATTTACTTGCCACTTAAACTTCCTACAACAGACTTCCAAGATTAGAAACAGAAATTATACAACCGGAAAGGGAACAGAAAAGTGTTTGCTTAGAAAGCAGAGGGAGAGAATTAGCTATTTTTAAAAGTGGTCTAAAAATAGTCACAGTCAGAGCTCAGTTTTTGTGTTAAAATAAGACAATGATGGCAAGACTGAACTAGTTACTGTGCACAGTCACAAAAAGAACCAGTGGTGTTTTGCTACTGGAACCTCCTGTGATTAATAATGTCTTCAATGTTTCACATTAATAGATTTTTTTTTTTATCTGAAGACCTGCATTCAGACCTAAACTATCAGGTTGCCTATTTGCTTCAGTGACCTTTGCAAGTGTAAAAAAAAAAAAATTCTTCATAATTAAAACACAGTTGAATACAAATTCTCATTAATGGAGTGCCTTTATTCCTTGCTTAAGTGAACAATACCAATGTCCAACCTGACATTTAAACCCAAAGCACACCATTGAGGAATACCAAACTACCACCATCATTATTTTACACTCTTCTTATTGACTATTACAGGAAGGAAGGAAACTGGGTATCTTTCATGTCAGGAGACCAGGACAATTAGGCACAACTTTGTTGTGTAGTGGTTGAGAACTAAACAATTCTCTGAACTGCAAAAGGTATTTATCATTTTGTTTCTATGTGACCTTTCTAACAAAAAGACCGAGACCACAAAACAAAAATGTAATTTCACCAGAAAAGCACCAGCAGAATCAGAAGTGAGAAAATAAAGCACAGATTTGTGGGAGTTAAGAAAGTATACAGTACTGTAGTCCTGAGGCACAGGACATGAAAACATGCAAACTGGTATGTGTGTGTGGGGAGGACATCTATAATCACTTTCAGAGAAGAAAAAGTCTGCTTGCTTTTTTTTTATTAAGGGGAGAGGGGTGCATGGCACAGCTGACATAAAAGTTCCCCACCATAATGATGTCTTGGGTGAGAAATTTTACATTGTTTTTCCTTGTCAGCAAATAGCAACTTCCTGAGCAGAATTATAAAAAAAAAAACTTAGAACTTGTCAGTTAGAAAAAAAACAGCATTTAGACAGATGTGCTGCAAAATTACAATAACTGACATTGACTGAGTGTAAGCCGGCACTTTTATTTAAACAAACTATTAATGTTGCCTTAAAAGGCCTTTGGGCACTTTCACCATTATAGACCTACTTAAAATGAGAGCTTAATGAAACTCTTAAAGGCTGTACTGAGAGCAGGATAAATAATTGTTTCACCATTACTAATAAGACTCTAATCATAAGTTATATGTTGACATGTCCCTTACTGCTTTTGGAAAACAGTGCATTTTGGCAGCACATTCCATTCTGATACTGATTCACACCGACAATGGAAACTCATTTAACTAATGCGTCTCGGGAGCAAACGTCTGCAAGACAGCACTAGCCTGTAGATCATTCAAAATAACTGCGCACTTTAGTTTTTAGAAGTGAAAGAAGTGAACTAAACATGCCTTCTAAGTCACAGACAAAAATTAACTTGTTTTTTTATAGTAACAACTCAAAAATGGAACCCATTTCCCCGATTTTCTCTTTTGCTTACATTATCTGCTACTGTACTTTCCCCTTTCCTGCGCAGTACTGATTATTTTTACATACTCTCAATTCCTTAGAACTTTGCAAGGAAATCTTCTGTGTCACTTCGCTTTCTAATGGCAAGCCACTCTCCAGTCATAGATCAAGGACAGAAACAAAGTACATCGAGACCTGCTACAGGAGATGTTTGTAGAAAAGCCCATTAAAGTATCCGAAACAAAACATGAGAAAAAACAGATATATACATAAGAAGCCGAAAATGTTGGTGAGAATATTTTTATGAAAGTGATGCCATACAAGTATGACATTTAAAGGCTAAAATTAAAATGCTTTTGTTAGGTTTTCAAGTCAGTATCCGATGCAAGCTCTATTAAAGTGTGCAAACTACAAACTTGTAAAGGAGCAGTAAGCCCTGGGAAATGAATTTCCTTTTCATCAGAAATAACCTTTTCACATTCCATACACATTTTTATTAACATTTTTGTAATTTTGTGAGAAATGTAAAATGGCACTAGCAGGATCTTGCTGCTCTAGCTTTTGAGCCCAAACTCCTAACCCACTACAGAACAACAAAACAATATTAAACCAGATTTAGTTCAACTGCCTTTAAGTTAAATCCTGCATTTGTTTGGTCAGACTTAAACAAGTTGACATTTATATTGAAAAACCAATGTTGTCAATTAGTTAACTAGGTCTTTTCCTTAACCACAAATTCCCAGGCTGTTGTGTGGAAAGCAGTGATCAATCGTTATCTTACATGTTTGCTTACATGGTTCACTAGGCCTTTCATGGATAGGAGAAGAGTTGTTAGCACCTGAGCCTTAATCAGAAATGACAAGGGACACTGTAAAATAAACAGCCACTATTTTAGAAACCATTTCAGCGTAGCACGATGAGATATTCATGTCATTCCCAAAGTAGCCCTGGTGAGCCCAAATACGGAGGCAGAGAAACTGGGCTGTCAGTGAAGAAAAGCCTGACCTAGTTACATCAGCTACCATGGACAGCACTGACTGCAAGGGCATGAGCATGAGCGACAGGAAAGTACAGTCACAGCTGTACACCACAGTTAAGCAAATTGAAGAGCCCAACGTGTCACCAAGAAGAGAGCAGGGTGGCCGATTACCATCTGGTCATTATCCTAATGCTAAGGCATCAGGTTCAACCAAGCGGGTGATTTAATTACAGTGCACTCTTTATAAAAACAAATCAACCCCCCCTTCTTCCCTTCTTCT